ATTTGAATTGCTTAAATTTATTACCTCGAGAAAAAAACAGCAGTTTTCGACAAGAGACACGATTTAGCTGTAATGATGGGTGAGACATAAAAGTAGTAAGCAAAATATCAGTCCTCTTACACTGGACATCTTTTAGAACTTACTAACTGGTTTTAATTAACTAAGATTCTTCCTCAAAGTTTACTAAATTTAACTAAAAGCTAGAAGTAGCCTAAAAAAGTTTTAAAATATAAAATACAATAAAAATACAATTTTTTCTTTTAGAAAAACCGAAAGCCGCAGACAATGTTTTTGAGAACTCGCAAAAATCCAAATGCCGTTTGACCACTGAAGCCAATGGCTTTTGCCCATCCCGCAAACAGGCACGACAGTTTAACAACCTCTTTTCCGTACGGGCTCTTCCCCCCCCATCCGCTGCCGTCAGACCAAATTCAGTGAGAGGGGTAGACGATGCCCAAGGGAGAGGTACACATCCCCTCTGCCCAGATTTTATTAGACCCCCAGCATCCCCAAGAAGCCAGTAATTTTCTGCATTCCCTCTACAATCCTTTTTGTAGAAATGTCTAAGGTAATTTGGCTTCAAAAAGGCCCGCATTCGGCATTATTGCTGTCTTTGTGTGTGTTGTTAGATAAGAAAGTGCAATTTGGGAATGCATAATACGAATGGAAGCGGGTGGAAGCAGGGGCCAGGGGCACGGCCTTTCCCATTGGATTATTTAATGGGAGGTTTGGTGGCTCATGTTTGGGCTCGATTGCAGATGGTTGTGTTTAATTTTGAACCCGGAAATTTCGGTTTTGAGAGCCTTAGGTGTGGGAGAAAAAGAGTAGATAAGCTCGATATATTTGATTCAAAGCTGAGTGATGATCAATTTATTAAAGTATATTGACTTCCAATTGGATCTGTAACTAAAAAAACCTTATTAGAAAACTAACAGGTGGTTTTAATTTTGTCCAAGTTCAAGAAGTGCAAGTAGATACAAATTTGGACATTTTTGCCCGAGCTGTGAAGATTTAATTATCCCATGTCGCTTCCTTGTTTTATAAGTCTATATTAACGTTTACTACTATAATTCTGATCTAGATTTCCAAGTGCTAATATCAATTTCTAAAAACAGCTCAAATTCCTTCACATCCCATGCAAAATTAATCCCTACAAATCCCCCCCATCACCAACGACAAGGAAGCCCCAAAAACTCAACTAATCTCAGGATTAACGCCATCCGGTGGATGTTTGATGGAGTTTCACCAGATTACGATCGACCAGGATCGGTCTGAATGGCTAATCCCACCTCGCAGTTCCCTCTCCCAAATTGACATTACTTTTGGCAGCCGGTGAGATTAGCCACTTTGGAACATGGGAGAACAGTGAGGGCTTCTTCTTCCTCCTTTTCTTTTTTTAGGTCCAAACAGGGGCCACCACCCCTGCTCCAGTGTGCCTCGGCCGCGGATGGCCATGGGATCTGTTTGAGCCTACCTAAAATGAAGTTGGTCTCCACCCCGCAAATCCCTGTCCACCTTCACCATCCCAAATAGATTCCACTTTTTTTCGAACTAGAGAACATCCGATTTAATCGTCAGTCCAAGTTTCCTATTCTAGGGTGTTTTTGTCTGGGGGCGGCATGGGGGGAAATAATCCTGAGAATTTAAAAGGGGATGGTGACAGTAATAATCGCTTACAACATAACAAACGCCCAAAAACCTCTGGACAGCCTCGTCTTTCATTTCACTGGAAAGGGAGATTCGTTGGAAGGGACATGTTGCATAGAATGAATAGCAGCTCATCAAGGTTAGACCGAGCTCTATAACATGTGAGTCTAGGTCGGAAACGGGTTGGAGAAAGCAGTGGCATATAGCCAGGTATGGGAAAATGAGAGGTTCCCACCCCCGCTGCCAGTCAGATGGTATGTAGTGAAACCTTGGTAGTGTGGAATGAGAAGGCGGGGGAGAGGCCGGGGAGGGAGAAGCCTGCCCTTCCACCTGCTTTTTGTCGTCGTGTCTAGTGGCCCACCCACCCCTCCCCCAATCAACCTCTCAAAGCCGCCTATTGGATAATGGGTGGTAGAGACTGATGGCAGGGTGAAGAGAAGAAGGGCATTCAGCAGGGATTTAATTCCAATACCTTCGGATTAGCGCCCCCCCCCACCGGGGTTCCCCTCAGGCTTCCACTCGCACTTACGCCCAAATGAGGCCCAACAATCAGTCCTACAATCTCACGTTGTCACATAAACCCCGCTACTGGTTAAGCGGGATTCAAAAAAATTGAATCAAAGAAAATCACTGAAAGAGATTACAATAAATTAGCATTAAACGAGTTGTAGGTAAATTTTGAGGGGGCCCCTATCACGGCCCTACGATACATTTTACCAGTAAATTCGCCCACAAATCTTGCCGGAAAAGACGCAAAACCTTTTCCTCCCTTTCTTCTCTCTCTCTCTCTCTCTCTCTCTCTCTCTCCTCTCGCACTGCCGGTGGACGTTATTTTTCACAGTAGATGGGACAGCCGATTGTAATTTTAATATAAAAATAGCGTATTTTCAAAATTTCGCTGTGAGTGCGCCCATCTAGAACACATTAAACACCAAATGATGCATCAAAAATCATGTTAAACTTTTCCCACATGTCACGAGTGAGAATACTGAAGGGTTTCGCAACTCACACGCAAATACGCCCGATATATTTATAGCCGAATTAGCTGTTAGAAACAGCATAAAACTTGTTAAAATTTAATGCCATCGGCTTCTCTAACACTTCACTGCTACCTAAACGTACACATTGCATCTTTTATGCAATTTTATATAGAGACTCTAAACATATCAAAGAAAGCAACCATTAAAATCTTAATTTCAACGACAAACCCTTAAAAGACGTTCCTAGAGTAATACGAGCTTTCCCGCCCAACCGAGCTAGACTGGCATCATCTTTCGACTTCTTCTTCGTCTTCTGCATCATAACATTCTTCTTTCATCCCAACCTCCCCAAAAAAATTCAGACAGAACCCCATACCTAATTCAATCGGCTCCGCTGTTCCTTCGGAATAAAGCAAAAAAAGCAACAATAGCACTTCCCGAAATTGCTCGCCGATTTTTTCGATGACGTGATAGCAATAGAACGCGAAAATCCGGGTGAGAACCACTTCAATGACAATCACTTGATGGAATTGTAGTGTGACGCGATCACTGCCTGTGACCGCCGGGCTTCATTTTCGCAGGGATTTCGTGCTCAAAAACAACACAAAAAATCAAAAGCCCTCCGTCCAGGGGGCAGAGATAGAAGGCTCTATTTTGGGTGCGTAAGTTCACTGAGATACGCGGGGTGCGAATTTGTGGGAATTCGATTGGACGGCAAAACGATGCCTTCCCCTCCGGTGAGTGGTGAATGAGGATGGAAAACGAAGGAGGGGTAAGTACTTGGATGCAAAGCTGTTAGATGGGGGTTGCTGATGGGTTTTCAAGCCGGTTTTGACCTCAAAAAGGGCAGCTGCTCGCTTCAGGAGATAGGCGTTCCGCGGCTTTACTGCTAGATTTTTAATTTTTTATAGGATGTTGTTCCTGGTTAAGTTTGCAGAGTACAGCTCAAAAAAGCAGTTTATAATTATATACTTTTTTTATGGTCCGGGAAAATTTAAACTTGTAATAGACTAGAAAAACAGGTTTAATAGATATAACTCGGGTTTTAAAAAAGCTTCAAATTCCTCCTACAAAATTTAATAAGGATACAAAACGCCAGTTGAAGTTTGCTAGGCCTAAACTTAAAAAATGGTCACTTGAAGTCGAAATTGCGGTTGCTTGGTAGCATAAGATTTATCCCGAAATGTTACTAGCGCAATGGAAAATAAAAATCACGTGATTCTGAATGGAACCAAGTTTTGAATTATGAAAAAGGTAAATCTAATCACGTCACTCTGCCAGGTTTCCATGTGCTTGTTTAGCTCCTATCGTATGTGCGTAACAACAAATAAAATATGGATGCGAAAAATGACAAGATCTCGTAAAGAAAAAACATAAGCACATCGGTTGAGTATAAACCCTCTTGCTCCCACGCATTTGCCATTCATCTGCCTCAAATTCTCTAATAGCGTTGTGGCCCGAGTTGGGTGTATGCTGACCCCCGGCGATCGTTGGGTCTCCCGCTACGACAATTACACCAGAAACCCCGTTGTTTGGGCCCGTAGAAAGCAAAAAGAATTATGGCTCTTATGGACGGCTAGGCCGAGGAGGTAAATTAATGTCCATACGGCTTGTCAGCTTCCCGCCTTGAACTTATATGCAAGAAATAATACAGCTAAGTGGTGGACTGGTATATCAAACCAGATAGCCTCTCAGGATTGGACAATCCAAATTACGATAGATGGGTGAAAAAAATTCTGCTTTCAAATGGGAATCGATTTCGAATGTTAACTTATTTGAATCGGCATAGATTCCAGGAGTTTGGTTTGGATTTTAATATCGGATTATCGGCTGGATTTTCCGCTTAATCATAATCTGATCAAGAACAACTTTTGCGGCCCCTATAACAATGCTTGTTAAGATCTACTATTCTCTAATTGCTTTTCTATAAACTTGATTTTTTTGTAAGTTCACCCGATTATTTGTGCATTTTTAAATTTTAAACCCAACAACGCAAACCATTTATTTACGAAGCAACTGGAAAAAAGAGTGAAATGCGATAGTTAAAATTACAACTTTAACTGTAGACCAGAGTCAATTCACACACAACACCATCGATAACTACTCTAGAAAAAATACAAAATATCAATTCACGCAATAAGCGGCGAGGAAAAGAAATACCCAATTCATGGACCATATTGTCTTGGAATGATATGGGAGAACATATTCGTATCTATGCAAAGTGGGTGAACAATGAAAAATCTTGCGGGAAAGAATTTTTGGCAGGATTATGGCTTAACTAGATGGCCAACAAAGCTCTAATAACCGAGACGGGATAGGTTGGAATTCGAGAAACCTTACAAACTGAATCACAGCATAGACGCGTAAAGTTTAGATTTCGTTAAAGTTGTTGCCAGTCGCCGGGTGGTGAACTGGGTTGGGCCTGAAATAAAGATGAGAAATTTTTAACATAGAATAATTGGTATATTACCATTATTCCAATCTATAAAAAATAAGCCTTACAGTGTAGAGTCGTCACGGGATCGCCGTGGCTTTTCTTGTTTGACTTCCATCATATATGCCGCATCGAAATCGGCGAACATTGTAATTTCCTAAAACAAATAACTAGCATTTGGCATTAGTACGAACCGGGATATGCATATCCTCGTACAACGTCAAATGCGGCTGATTATTTCGAGCCGCGGCCAGAACATTGCCTAAAAATGCTTTTGTAACATTTTGAGAAAGACCATTACCATGATTTAGGGCCAGAGCAAAATCCATCTCTTTGGCCTTGGACAGATCAAGTGGGTGCTGTGGAATCATGGTACCCGCGATCCTAGCCTCGATTTGTGGATCCCGGATAGTATGGCTTCATCGATGACATGGAAATTATCTGAATATGAATTCTTATTGACGAACACCACTCTGGAGCCGCTATGTGCTGGTCCACAAAACCCAAAATACTAACCTTTCCAGTAGTAAAGCACACATGACCATTCTTCGACGGATGCACGAATTCGATATAATCATCCACAATCAGCATGTCCGCTGGAGATGACTCTTCGGTAATGAAATCCGGCGGGAGGAGATGTGACATTTGACAGTGCCTAAAAATTTTAAATATACGTACAGCTCCCGGATATATTTTTTCTGTCGAATTGCTACACTAATACTAACCGGAAAAGAATATGGTTGCGCATTTCGGAGATGAAGAAGGAACCAGCTTTCCAAAGCGTACACCGCACGCGAACCGCACGAATGTGTCCAATTATATGTCGACGGCCAACCTAAAAGTTATTGATGTAAATGAAAGGGGTTTGCTGTGACCAAACAGCATTAGAAATGCCGACGTTTTTAATTTCGGAACTTACTCTAGCCCGCGGAAACTCGAAATTGCAATGACGACATCGGCCAGGCCCTGCTGGTTGGCTAGGATCGGCTGGATCCATGTGCGAGAAGAGCTGAGTACGCTGGTACGGAGTCAGACAGACAGCGACACGTGATTTGTCTTTGGTCTCCGGGATTTCCTTCTTCACCCAAGTCGAGGGACCCGCGCCCGGTGTCTTCTGCTTCAGTCCCAGCAATTTCACTTCGTTGTCGTCCTTGATTCCTTGTAGCAGCTGCTTACGTTGTCGGGGGACTGAAAATAAAAACATTTTTGTTCCCCAGTCCGGGCTATTTGGGCAATCTCGTATGCAAAAATGAAGCTTACCAGGACTCTCGTTGAACTCAACCATCACAAAACCTTTCCGGTTGGCCCAGGTACCCCGAGAATAGTTTGAGTCGCAATCTATAACGATTTTCTAACATTTTTTTTACAATCCGCTATACCATCATCTATGGTGACGACTTCAGTTGGCTCGTCCTTCTTGCTCTCACTCTGGCTTTGGACGGGTGCTGGGCTTTCGCGGTGATAGTCTTCTCCATTTTCAACAGTAACTGATGCTCCAACATCCGGAACGACCATATTCAATTCCGGTGAATGCTCCTTTGGTGAATCCTTTGGCGGGATGCTAAAACGAGAACGGAAATATAGACGGGGTTTCTCACTTACATCTCGCGCACTTTCTTGACCTGGCTCAACGGAGTTGCAGATTTCTTTGCTTTTTTCATCACGACCGGACCCTGTGATGTCGACGGAGACTCATAGTCGGAATCGCCGCTACATTGTTGCGTTATTGTTTAATTACCGCAACTTACTCCACTTTGGAAGTTGCTCATCCAGCCGGGGCGCTTCTGGCTCGTGAGCTACGAGGCAAAGGAGTTGAATTCTCAATAAGACAATAAATCCTGACCGCGATCAATTCTAAAATTACCGCAGAAGAATCGTTGGACTCGGCACCATCTTCACTAACAGCATAAACAACAGCCGCCTTCTTCGGCCGCCCCGGTGGGCGGGCTGTCTTGAATGATTTTTAAGACCGGAGGATGCAAAATACCTTTTTGGAGAAGGCTTCAGGTTATGCGAGGCATCTTGAGCGACTTCGACATCGTCCTTTGAGGCCTAAATTCGGGTATAATATAACTTAAATGTTTAATCTACAGCATTCGCATCTTGATTCAAGACATCAATATCATCACGGGTTGTCGATTCGTCATCGACGGGCTCGCGTTTAATCTTTCGAGCATCACTAGGAACGAGCATCACTTCTTCCCTGAAATAGCCGTGTTTAGATGTGTTTTGTGCTGTGCTGCAGGCGGAATTTTGTTTGATTCTTGATAAAGATGTTAAAAATATGAATTTTAGATCGGGAACAAAATCCTTATTAGCAACAAGGCGGAAGACCAAGAAATTTATTTTGATAGGCAAGATATTTTGGAACCTCATTTAGATCCGAATTAGCTTGTTAACTCGTTGTCGGATTTCGAAGCGTAACATCAATAGTTCGTATTTTTTTTGCTTACCGTGTCCACCTCTTGCTTAATCTCACAGTACACTTTTTCGTAGTCCTCTCGCTGGAAGAGTTGCCTTTTTCGCTTGGATCTTCGGAAGCTCAGGTTTCCTATTTCGAAGTTGCTGCTAATTTCCGTATCATACCGAATCCGGGGCTCCTGCATCGACAGCCGGAGTAGCGCGGTTGGACCTTGTCCCAAGACGCATCGTACGCTGCAAAAATTCGTGTAAATTCAAAAATATAGACCAAAATAAGACCAAAATAGCATCTTAGTTCTAAACATGAATGTTGTGCCGATTCAAATGGCAGATGTCGACCCCCTTTTGGCGCGACACACTACGAAAAAAAAGAGAGGAGACGCAGATGCACCTGACCCAACACGCACAAAGGGCATCTGTCAAGAGGAGGAGGTCGGAATACATTCCTTATTATCACAAGACAAGAAAATACAATCTGTGCCTTTAAAAGACCCCTCGAATCGGAAGGATGGCTATGGAACTTAGCACAAGACTGGACAAGTATCTCGCTGAACTCCGGAACCGGAGTTGAAAATGGAGCGAACGAGACACATTAACCAGATCCAATGAACAAGTGATATGGGAATTCAGGCATTAAAGTATTCCAGGTCTACACATTTCTGCGCTTCAAAGCTGTACCTTTGATGGGTCGGGCGTATGTGCTGTTTTAGTGCCGACGAAGCCTTGAGGAGTATTTCGCGCAAGGTGTTGGTTGTTAACCGCGGGATTCGGCGGACTTCTAGAACCAATTTTTCGAGAGAGATGGAAACCGCTTTACTTTCAAGAACTTCGCCTTCCGGGTTCGAAGTGGCGTCGAGCGAGAATTTTCAGGAGAAACTTTGGCATGTGTAGCAACCACAAGGTCGTCATAGTCAAGTCGCGTGTTAGAATGACGATTGCGCTAAAACGATTGATTTCAAATTTGATTATGTCTGTGACAACCTTGGGTCTCGGCTTCTCTTTCTCCAGGCGATATACAAGACTTCGGCGATGGTTTCGTGAATATCTTTCGATATTCATCACGCACTTCTTTCTTCTCGATTTTGAAGAGCATCTTTTTCATTATCTTAAACAGGGTTTACCATATTTGAATAAACAATTACCGAAGCTATCACGATTTCATCAGTTTCTGGATCGGTCTTTTTCTTATCAAATGGGGACCGCAGGAAATTCTGAAAATCGCTTTTAAAATGTGCATGAGGCAATGTTTTTAAACTCAATGAGCAAGCTGATCATGGCCGGTCTGAGATTCACGAATTCACCTTGAGCTTTTTCCGTTTCTGAGGCGTACGTTTGTTGGAAGCACGCGGGGTAAGTTGACAATTGAAAGGCCTGACGGAGAGGTTTCCAGATGATGTCGGGAATTCATGTTCATCAACGACGATATGAGGCTCTCCCAGTGGAGGAGGGCCGGAAAAGGTCCTCCATATCGTGCTCTTCGCTCCGTTCCGAATCAGTATTGCTTGGAGCAAGCTCAGAGCAATTGGCTTGCAATTCTTCTTCGAGAATTGGTGGGCCATCCAACTCAGGCATATCTCCGACACTTGAAGGAGATTCCTTTCTCACTTCGTCCGTCTCACTAACTTCGGCCTTTTCGGGAATGCGCCGGAAGTTTCTTGGAGGAGGGATTCGTCGCTGAAACCTTGTATAGGAAATTATTGAACCCGCTCACCATGGTGGGCTCACCCAACGTCGGTGTTGGCTCAACGTCCTTTGGGGCTGCCGGGGCATTTTTCAGGTCTTCTTCCATCTTTGCCAGCCAACTGAATGCCGCTTCCAGAGCTTTTTGATTCTCGTCATAATTCTGAAGAAAGGCTCTTAATGATATTCCTAGCAAACCTCTTCTGGGATCTCCCGTTCAATATTCCACGTGTGTACATTTTGCTCGCCTGAATTCATGGCTTGGACGACCGGTATGGGCTTTGGAAGAGTTGCGTGGTATTCAAACTAAAGAAGATTGTGATTTTTTGATGTATTTTTATGCTACCATGTCCATCATTTTGCGCTGGCGGTGATCTTCTTCATCGCCGCTGGCGAATTTACCATATCGGAGTTCATCAGGAATCACAAATTTGCTGGAGTGCCTTCTTACATTACCGCAGAACGCTTCTAAAAATAAGAAATTGATAGTTTTTGTATACTTTTTTATAGGACGTTCCATAAAAACGTTCAGTCGACAAACCGTCACTTTACTTACCATACGCGTCCTCCTTTCCTTCGGGTCTTCTGATGAGAACCGCATAGCATCTTCACTCCTCTTGATACTTCTTGAATTTGGAAATCCGCATGCGTTGCTGTTTGTGACGCCAAAGCAGGTCCGAATGCGTTTCTTCCACGTGCTTCTTCAGCTCTTTGTAACTAAAACGATGAGATAATCTTGCTTTGGATAATTTTTCCTTACTCGTCTTTCACATTGCCACAAACTAAGCACTGGAACATATCGTGCGCGAGTGGATGAGCTGCAGTAACGTGATAGGCAAGGACTTCCATATCAGCGAATTCCTGAAAAAAAACCTATGAGGGATGTTCAATTTAGCCTACGGGTTCCGCAGCGCAATCCTCGTGTAGGCCCAGAACGCTTCGCGCCCGCGCCGCATCATGATAGTCCATCCCGCCGTTATCACTTCGACACCAAGATGTCTTATTAGAAAGCCCGTAAAATATATGAATGCTATAGAAGTTTGAAACTGAATGTTTGACACTGCTGAACATCTTGCTTATCTAAAATTATCTTGATCTGGCGGTTTATCCGTTTGTCTTCTGGCACAGCGCAGTTTACTAAAGCTAACAAAGAACTCGTTTTTTTGCGCAGAGCCAGATTCAACGCTTACTGACTTCGCCTTTCATTTCAACCTTAGACGAGATCTACGCAGCATATTCGCATCCGCCGCATGAGTAGCGCACAACAAGCTGCTATGAAACAGCATTATATAATGAGAGAACCAGCGATATCAGCGAACGGTGTTGACCCTGACTGAACATTCTTTACGTGCCATATCTTCTATCCTTCGATATCCATGTTGCGTTTTCTCCCACTACAAGTTTATTGCTAGAGCCTAGAGTGGTAAGAAATAATTTTGCTATTCATTCCAAAAGCTATTGTAACAGCTATAGCAAATTAACTTCTAATCTATTATCATATACACCAGGATGTTTTTCACAAAGCTAATGCTACAAACTCGATATCTATCTTCATCGATATCTATCAAGATGATCTGAAAACATCAGAATCATACCAATTTCTCTCTTTTAAATAGCAACTGTTCTTTTGTCTAGTTGACATTGCCCCTTTACTGCAAACAGCTAATAACCAGGATTTTAATTTTTAACTACCGACAACACATCTTCACTTTCATCTGCGTACGAATCATGTAGACAATTTCGGCCGCCCCCGAACTTACAGCTTTCTCTAGCTTTCCGTAGTCTAATATGAACAAAAATAAAGTTATTTTGATATGAACATACCAATCTCATCTTCTTTCAGTGGCACGTATGGGGCGGGCGGTGTGACTTTAGGGATCTTTTTCTTTGGTTTTCCCATATTTACTGTTAGGGAGCAGAATGCTGAAATTTATAATTTTAATCGATTGAGGCAATTAGTAAAATAGCAAGTGGAGACAAATAGCGATGGGTATGATATGACCGGCGCACGACCTCGGCGGGCCTGGACTGGCGGCGCGGTGTAGCTTGAATCAATGGCATGTCAAAAATACTAAGTGGGCTTGACTGAGAAGGAAGGAGCGATCGAGGAAATATGTTTATGCAATATAGGCGCGCCAGACAGGGAATAAATAATGTACGGAAATGGGTACATATCGGCGATATAGCGCGTGAATGACCGGATGATATAAAAAGTCTCCACAGAAAAATTTAAAAAATTACAACTCGGTAAACCCTGCGCTGCCTATTTTAATGATCTAGATGGTTGTTCCTGTATTGTTAATGCGCGTTTATGGATTTCAGATTGGCAGGAAGTAAGAGGTGCATTGACCTGTCGGTCTACTCCTAGGTAACGGAAGGTCCAATAATCTCCTCTAATACGCGCCGGTCATTAGTCGGACCCGGAAAATGGCTTTAACAGTCGGTTCAGGAAGTTGACTGGAAGGGAAGAAACCTATTTCTGCCATTTTAGATACCCGCCGAACGGTTATAGCTTTTGGTCCTGAATAGCACTAGGTTGGGCTGTAGAGCTTCGAAACTCGGCGGTTGACGTTTTTACATGCCCAAAACTACTTGAAAGCCTAGAGGAGGTGCTCGACAAGGGATTTCTGGGTTTTGGGGATAATCGATTCCTAGGCTTTTCCAGTGGAGGTGGATATAATTAGAAGAGCATGAAGCGATTTCCTGCTGCTATAGAGGCCTAGCCGTTGTCCGCTATCCCGTGGTTCGACTCATAGACCACCGTATTCAACTGTGGGTTGCCCCCGGTCCTAAAACGACTTCTTGTGTGGGCTTGCCGAGCCCATTCAAACGGTTAGATTAGGATTGGTAATGGATTAGATGTAAGTCCTACAAAAAAGAACCCCGGAGGAAAAATTTTTTGATGAAAGATGGCTTATGCCACTTGTGTAACTGAAATTAGATGAAAAGTCGATGTTAAGTGAAAGCCTGATAGTAACCAACTAGCGCCCAAAAGTTGTGAAAAAATGTCGACAATTCCGTTCGCTTGTGCAACGAAAAGTCTCATGATGCCAACATATTAGTTAACTGATGAAGAAGCCAATATTTTATGGTAATTTTCTTCGATCCATTTTGCCGCAACTTTCGCAATGAAAAATTTTAGAAATTACATAGCTTTTCGGAAGCAATAAGGCTGACAGTTATAGCATTTTTGTAACATTTGGGTTGAAGAGACCGGGTCGAAGCCATTTGGAGACTATTTATGGCATTTTTATGTAGCATTTTTTCTTTCGAAGAAGCTGATTTAAACTACAAGCAGTCAAAAGTGGTGCTTCAACAAGTGCATAATTCGAGAAGTCGCGGCTAAATTTTACTCGTTAAAAAGAATAAAGCCTTTGTAGCTATTGTTGCGTAAGTTTTGTGCATAACCAGATAAACTAATAGCAAGCTAGAGGAAACTCCATGCTGTTTTCCAAAGGAAACTATTTGTACAAACATTTAACAATAAAAGCCGGAGATAATCAACCGTAAGCCGTCTATTTTTCAAAACCGAAGAATCAGCAGTCGTAAGGTATTCCGATTACATGGGCTAATAGGGCCCAGAAAATCGATTTCTAGAACATTTGCATGTGCCGGATATGCGGGGGTGATCTTCTCTTGTCTTGGATTTGGGGGGCCGAATGATAAGGCAGGTCGGTAAGAACGCATTAATGTTCAATATCACTGGAATGAGGGTTAAACGCTACGTGGTCTAGGGATTCGGCTGGGATCGGTTTGTTGCACTATTTCTGCTTACCAGGGTTGTTCATTTTGGGTCCGGTCCGCGTCCGTCCGGCCCGGGACGCGGACCCGTCCCGTCCGCGCAATTTGCATAAAAAATGCGGACGGGCTGGGACGGGTCCCGGACGGGCCGGACGGACGCAGTGCGGGCTGGGGCGTCCGCGCGTCCGCGATGCAAATGACCGGAAGCACATGCAAAATCATTGCAAGCAAATTCACATCTTAGCCCGATTGTTGCCTTTTCTTGATTTACATTTGATTCCTAGCTGCTTTACTTCGGAAAGAACGCGAAAAACCGTCATTTCATCAATTATCATGCAATTTTGGCTACCTGCGCTTTGCATAGCGGGCTCAGCTATTTCCTGCGTCCGAGCCCGTCCGGCCCGTCCCGGACCCGTCCCAGCCCGTCCGCTCGGTCGGAGCAAATTATTCGGACGCGGACGGGTCCGGGTCCGCGTCCGTCCGAGCCCGTCCGTGAACAACCCTGTTCCTTACCGTTATATTTCATGTGTGGAGTAAGTTCAAACACGTCCAGGATACGTACTCGAACCACACCCCAGCCGACACTTTAGGTAAGGGTTCGTCTCATACGCCCGGTATTTCGAAGATGGTGTAGGCCGAATTTCAAAATTGTTTCCAACAGCATCAACAAGTTCATCCTTACTTCCAGAATTTAGTCCGACATTCAGACAAAGTGCTCCGACTTCATCAAGAAGTTCATCCCTTTTCCAGAGTTCCAGCCAATACCTCCTTCCATCCAGAACCCCCGATGCCATTCCATATTGTTGGTGGTGATTGCCGAGATTGGAGGACGGCAGGGACACACGTACCTTTATTTGCCGAGACGCCATCCATGAAGGCTAGCCAGGCAAAGGCATCCCCCCTCCACGAATTCGTTGCATCGGAACGAGGAACCCGAACAAGGGAGAAGCCAAGGACGTTTGGGTTGGAGGGCGGTGAAAAGAATGGCCGTGCCAAGTGTGCGTGAAAGGGACATGCAAATCTGGAGCCGCCGATTCCAGCCGGTGCCCCCCCTGGAGGAATCTGGTGGCATTTCGGAAACTGATTCGAATCTTACCAGTTTCAGGGTGGCAAGCTTGACTGCTAATGGAATGTGAGGGGGTTTGGGAGGCGATGTTCGTAATGTAGACGATTTTCTGAGACAAGCTAGATTAAATCCGCTAGCCTTAAACTTTAAGCTAAGCTAGCTTGTTAGTGACTTTACTGTATTTTATGTCTTGGGCACTCTTTCTCGCAAGTGTGTGAAAACACGGCCTATATCAAGCTTTAGTGCTTTTCAAGATTAAAGTATACATCTGTAACAGATCCGATGCTTTTAACTACAAGACCAGGGTTGAAAAACCGCTTCGCGGCTTTTCAACCCTGGCCCCGCCCAGTACCTGTGAAAGTCCTTAATTTGCATGTTTCTTCCTGAATTCTAGCAAGAAAAAAAAGTGAAAAACGGCTCCTCCGTCCCTTTATATAGGCTCTTCCTACTTCCGGCGTATGCTAATTTCCCCTAACAAACAGGGTTTTACAAAAACCTATTTTTAATAGCGAAAACCGCAATTTTTTAAAATTTTTATGCGTGTGCAGTCGATTCCGGACCATTCTAAACCTATTGTCGTTTCTTCCCTATCCAAAAAACCCTTCCCCGAGGCTGTAGGAGCGGAACATCCTAACGGAAGTGCATGCAAATATACACACACACACACACAAACACTATTTTTTTATATATAGTAGGATAATTTTTCGATCCAAATTCTGCGAACACCTCCACATCCACCAAGGCACAGAAGAAAGTTCACCCCTGGAATTTGGCGCCATGACCGCAAAGTGCCCTCCTTAAAGGTGTCCTGCGGTTTCGGGCTGCCCCTGGCGCCCAAGCCCTGCAAAAAATCCACAAGAACCGGAGCCGGGGCTTGAACCTAAGTGATTCACCTTGTCGCCAACGACCTTTGCAATTGAATACCATTCAAGGTTTGCATGGGCATTTAATGGCTCTCATGGTTGTCCTCTCAGAATCAGGAATTTAGCAAGATCGACTGGTAAAATCTGGACTAACAACGAACGGACCGATCAGTATATCGGGAAATCGGAAGGTTGGGTAAACTAATCTCGAATAATTGGGGTCTTATTAGACAAATGACGCCCAGATAGGGTAATTCGATTTCGTAAAATCCTGGGAATTACGCATCCTACCTTATATAATTTTGTGGTGTATCTCTGTGTGTGGGTGTGTGTGGATGTCACTTTCGAGGCTTGATTTGAGGGCCTTCCCGTGCATAAAATGCTCTAATTCTCTGTCACTTGGGGGAATCGACCCTCCTCTTTCCAATGGCATTTTCAGAATTTCAATAAAATACAAGTTTACAAAGTTAAAGCCGGTTTTACTCATTTTTGGGGGTCAAGAGGGCTAATTTGCATAATGTGAAAAAATACAAATTACCTCATTCTTGCAAGTTGCACGCGCGCGCGTGGTCGGACGAGGGGAGGGCCGAAGGACCCGAGCCATCGGAAAGTCAAATTTCTCATGCAAAGGCCGCATCCCAGCGCCCAAGGCCCGCAAAGCGGGTTTTGGGCGCTGGTTATTAACATAAAAAATCTCAGTTGAGATTTTTTTTATTAGTGATTCTGTTCGTCGAAATGCTGATAGGGCCAGCGTCTGTCACTTTAAGCGTCTTTTTCTCAGACGCTATTTTAAGGAAAGCCGGCCTGTTGAGCTGGATTGCCTCGCTAAATCCAGACCTAGACATTCCAGGGTTCGAATCACACCAGGCTTTTCTCAGCTGACAATAACATCTACAACCATATAACAACTGTTTTTCCACCCTACTTCCTCTGCCAACAACACCAGACCGTGATTATGATCTAGGCGAATTTCCGGGGGGTGACAATGGAAACAGTTGGACGTTGAATTCCAGGCGCCCCACTCCCAGCCGCCGTTCTCGACCCCCTGTCACGACACGGATGCTGTAGGTGGAAAAGGTTACTGGATAGGGCGATGGAGGAGGAGGAGTATTTGGAAAAGGAGCAAGAGGTGGAGGTGGAGGAGGGCGTGACTGCCAAGGAAGCGCTTCCAACGATGGGGACATCGCCTATAAAAGGGACGACACCTCAAAGAGACGCCCCTGGACAAATGACGGACGAGAAGCGCCTTCTGCATGAGGCCCAGCAGCTTCGGAGGTTGATTTAGTTTTATTTAAACTTAATTATTTTTATTAATTGCTGAAAGTCTATCCAATTTGGCAAATATTAAAGTGTATTGGTTGTTCTTAAGCCGGAATGTTTTATGGTTAGATTATATTTTCCATGAACCTGTTGCGTCAAAAAGAGTTCAGCCAGTAGGCATGGAGATTAAAAATGGTAACGTTTTGCCCAGGTTTACATTTTTTGGCGAACTTTGGCGAAAATTTGGACGTTTTAACGTCATCTTCTTTAGCAAACGCTTTTAATATGTCCTTGCCAAAACCATGGATCCTTTTTGTCAGCAACCCCCCCACGGCAGTTCCGTCTCTAGACGAGAGACGAGAAGACTGTCTGACCTGATTGCCCATTGTAGAGTAGCCTTTATTGGCGTCTCCATCTCGACAGTGGCTACTCTCCTGTGTATGGTCTCCGTGCCAATGTTCTACAATTATCTCCAGCAAATGCAGTCGATGATGCAGGGAGAGGTGTGTTATGGAAAGTTTTGTAGCGGGCCGTTTTTGACGATTTAATCATGCCGTTGAAAGGTTTTGTTGCTATTTTTTTAAGCTCTAAACAGCTCGAGACATTCTTTACTCCCACTAGCCTGTAAGAGAGATAGAACTGCAATTTCAGATAGGAAGCTTATGAGCTTATAAATCTGATATGACCTTCTGACCTATACCAATGTTATTCACTCAAATTCGCGGCTTAAGCCAAAGAATCCCCATCTGTTTTCAGGTGAACTTCTGCAAAGCTGCGCAGCTCCAACATCTGGCGGGAAGTGACTCGTACGCAGGTAAAGGCGGTACATCCCCCTTTCACCATCCCCCCCCTCTCATCCAGGCAAATGGGTACAAATTGGCCTGTTTGGGTAGGGGTGCCTAGGAACACTTCAGGCGGCTTCGCGCAGCCCTCCTCCGATCGCTGCTTTTCCGGCCCCAAATTCAGCCATTTGGCTGTAAAGACAGTAGTTTGGGCGCGGTCGAAAGTATTAAAAGTCTAGTTTAAGGGGTTTTAAGGAAACTTTTTGAAACTTACGAAAGTAAGGGGCTCTTTTGAGCTATGAATTTCATCCGGTAGGGCTTCAAATTCGGAAAAAATGAGCCACAGTAGTTGTTGCCGCGCGATTAAAAAATATCGAAAAGTTTTTTTTTAAGCTCTTGAAGACATGCTTAAAAAGAGATCGAAGGAATCGTTTAGCACTTTTGTGAGCGACGGTACTTGTGTGGCATTTAAAGCTATATCGAATATTCTAAGTCTCGTTACAAAATTACATATATAAATGCTAAAAATACCTTAAAGATTTTTCGATAGCACATGGTTGTCAGCACAAATCACACACCCCATCAATCCGCCATACCATATAAAGCCATTCCTGCACTTCTCGTCATGCCCCTCCAGGCAGCACAAATGTGAGCCGAGTCAATAAAACGGCTGGGGGGGAGGGTGGTTGATAGGATCTAGCCGTACTAGTTGGTGGTGACAGTCATGCCATCGTGGAGGGTGTTCTCTGCTCCCCCATATCGAATATACAGATTTGCATCTGGTTGCTCAAGACTCGTCCCTCTTTCAGGTGCTCGCCAGTGTGAATGGAGTGGTCAGGTCGAGAAGGCAGGCCGGATATGAGTCCGCTGGGGTTGAGGGAACTCATCATGCTGCTTCATCTGGAGGTTTGGAAATATAGAGGAGGTCGCAAGCAGTACGCCTTCAGCTTCATCCTAAATTTAAGGAGCGGGTGTATCGTACCTCGTTTAAGACTTATATATATTTTTTGGAACACCCCTGTAGTTTTTCCAAGTTTCCTAACCCATTTTGGCAATGGTTTCGTCAAGTTAAATCCATTTTGTGCCTTACGCTCCCCTTAAGCTGTCGAAATCTTTTTTCAGGTGGTGGTGGCGGATGCTGTGGATGTGGCGTTTCCGCTCAAGGTCCCCCCGGCCCACCTGGGTCTGATGGATTGGATGGAGCGGATGGTAGGTCTACTCTACCCAGATCCAAAATACTTAGAAATTCCGTCTACAATAATCATAACCTAATTCTTTTAGGTGAACCTGGAAAGAACGGCAACAATGGCCCTGACGGCCCTGAAGCCACCCCTGCACCGCACCATGACTTCTGCTTCGATTGCCCTGATGGCCCACCAGGACCCGCTGGAAAAGCTGGACCCAAAGGTAGTCATCCATTTCTAACGGCTTTGTAAACTATCACTTTAGGACCACCCGGCAGCAATGGTGAACCCGGAAAGGATGCGGATGGTGGTGTACGTGGCCCGCCAGGCCCACCAGGCCCTCCTGGACCCGGTGGAGATGATGGAAAGCCGGGAGAAGCCGGATCACCAGGCTCTGCTGGCCAGGTCAGCGAGGTGCCCGGCCCCGAAGGACCTCCTGGACCTCCTGGATCACCCGGCGAAGCTGGACCAGATGGACCCAAGGGAGGAGATGGCAAGCCCGGATCTGCCGGATCACCTGGAGAAGCTGGACCCCCAGGCGGAAATGGATCCGATGGAAAGCCTGGAGGCCCCGGGGAGAACGGACCAGATGGAAATCGTGGAGACTCGGGTGGCTGTGATCATTGCCCGCCGCCAAGGACTGCGCCTGGATATTAATGAGATGATGATCATCACTATATTAATATTAATTTGTGGTCAATGGCTTGTCACAGACCTTAGTTTTTATCGCATAGTCTATGGTCTCATTGTGTTCGATGCTGTACCGTGGTTGTTTGGAAATAAATTGCTGGGGTTTCAAGAGATTGGAAATGGCAGGATACAGGGTTATGGAGTATTGTAAGCATACATAAAAATAGTGTCTGTGTGCATTTGCATCGTACGTAAGGGATCGGTGGCTTTTTGTGAAAACCTCGCCTCCACCCCTGTTAGGTAGCAATTAGCATACGCGCGAATGGCAGACTGTAATGGGTATGTGCCGGAATATTACTCCACTCTTTACGAGAAATTTGAATTTTATCCATTTAGCCAGACTATGGTCTACTAACCTTAAAGAAGGGGTCAACCCCCTGGAAAGCTGCCAAACTTCCCCCTCTCAAACGATCCTTTTGTAGACGGTTGCAATGCGTAGCTTTGTTATATTGAATGCGGTCCTCCTCCCTCATCCCCCAATATGACATATGTTCATTCTTTGCCCATAAGGCGAATTGAGCGAGAGTGGCGAGTTCCAGATCTGGCCGGCCATGACCGTTTCCCAGCACAAATTGCCGCCTCAAGTGCGAGCCGAGCCGGCGGGCGAAATTGTGCACCGCATTTGGATCCTTGCCCAGCCGTTGGCCACTAGGATGAAGTTTATTGATTTTTAACTGTATTTTTTTGATGAATTGGCCGACTATTAGTCGATAGCATTTTGATACGTACCATATTTAAAGTGTTGGAACTTATTAATCATAAAATTACTTAAAATAAATAATACATCGCGGCTTTGACTTCGTAATGTAAGGCAATCTACATCATTTTTTTGCTCCGATTCCGAATCTGCCGTCAGTTTTCACCAAATTCATTTTTTTTGTCGCCGTATTCGTCATTTTTAATCTCTTCGATAAGAGAAAGATAAGCTAAAGGCGTCAGCGAGCTAATAACAAAATTACTGCCGATAAACATTCTCACAAGTTTATTATCGAAAGCAAATTTTGAAGGGGTTGACCCAGAAGAATGTGTGGGGAGTCTCTAGGTCAACGAGGTTCTTCTCCTCAAGACTGTCATAAACCATCAACGATGTCCTCCTCCCCTCGAGCCACACCTAACCCTTTCGACCTGCCATATATCCTCATTTTCATTTTCAGATCATTCTTGGCCCTCAACCACTTGTTATTCCCTCCAATGCCGCTTTTTCTACTCCTATTCATGATATTAGTCATTGATTGCAAAACCGAAGACCCCTATCGAAGAAGACGTAAGATAAACCAAAATATCTTATTGAACCTGAGTTTTAGAAAAGGATTATGAATTCCTAAAAGAACTCAACGATTTCGAAATTAAAATTTTGCGAGATTTCGTCCGAGGGCGTGGCACAGGTTTTGAAAAACATTGCTAAACGAATTTATAAATTTCCTTAAGCTTCGGTTTCACGATTACCATTTGATGAATATTTCCATGAAGCCGAAGATGTAAAGTCAGACGAAAATCAGCCAGAGTTATTTGCGGCTGGCGATACGGTAGATGGTTCAGTGATTTCACTCAATTCATTACGGCCACAGGTTGATACACTATCATATTTTGACAGTATTTTAGGCTGCCCTTTCAAACGACGATGAGGGGAATTTTTTGACACTAGGCAGGGTACATCTGCCTAATGAAAAGAACGACCTCAGAGAAAAGCCTTTATTGAGCCAATTACGCAAGTTTTTTGTAAATTAATAACTATTGGAAAATTTAGGAAACCAAGGGTGGCCCGGCCCCAGGTCACAAGAATCAGCCCGAAAAGTCGGGTACGAGAGTTTGGCAGGAATTTCGAAGAACCTCGAGAGCCGGATAAGGAGACGTTTAAGGAATATGCTATGATACTACAGGTATGTATATATTTCAGGTTTTCCGGATGATTTTTTAGCAACTTATTGATGTTCGGAAGGCTGCCGTTGCTGCTCCGACCTTTCCAAGCACGATCGTCGCTTCAGAACCTCGTAGGAACGCTAAACCGATCCGCGGTCGTACCGAAAAGGTATGCGTTAAATTCTTTTTTATTAAGCTACGTATTTAGGTTATTATTAAGAATACAGGCCCGAGTGTTCATGATAGTGTCAAGGCAAGAAAACTTTTCCTATAGGATATCTGGATTTATAGAAAATTGTGGCCCAGCACGCGGCACCAAATGTACCCGCTTGGCAGCCTGTCGTTGAGCGAAAGAGTGAAGATGGTTAGTGATTTTTAATTTTTTTGAAAAAATGTTGTTAACAATGATTGCAATCACAATAGAGGAAAATAATGGGAATCTCTAAGATAAAAGTTGAATAAAATTTTGAGAATATGGGTTTTTCAAGCTCCAAGCCCTTAAAAATGAACAGAATTTTGAGAGCTCCGGGAGAACAGCCAATGCCTTTCGCCAAAGCTAAGAAAATGTCGATATTCTATAACCTCGAGATTCTGATAGGCCCCTTTAGAGGTATTATAAAATCGCTTTAATCTATTCGTTGCAGATTAAATGCATATATTGCTATTATATCCTAAACCCCTTCACCCTCTACAATCCTGTACATTGCTCCAGTACCTTTCAATGCCGATAGTCGATCAAGTTCGCGAATCCCCCCATTTCACTTTGCCACAAAAAGAAGATGGACGGAAAGCTGGGATCGCTCCTGCCAGCGGGCATTGCGAGGGCGGGGGGAGATTCTTTGTGGAAAACGGTTGGCTGGGACGACCTCATGTCGGCCAATCGCTGGATGAGAGAGCCTCAACAGGAAAACTGGCATTCCGGTGGAGAGGGGGGTGTTCGTCGAAATAGAAGGCTAGAGCTGCCAAAGCACGGCAAACGGCATCCGGATGCCATAACCGCCGCCTGTATCCAGAGAAAAAGATTTTTCGTGTGACCCGAAGGTGCGCTTCTTTGCCGGCTGTTCGTTGTGCGGAAAACGGTCTGAATAGACAAGCCATAGAGGAGCACATTTACACGATCGACCAAGCAACAGATTTCGATCTCTATGGATTTATCCGCTTTAACCCAGACCATCAGCCACAAATATTGGCGGTGGCTGCCATTTCAGGATGGCTATCAGCCGGAGAAAACCGATGATTTTCCCGATAAACCTGATTTTTGGAGAGAGTCGGACGGCAGGGCGAAGAACTAAGGGTGCCAATTTGAGCAGAAGCTGTGGAAAACAATACCGCACTAAAAAATAGGGCGAACTTTTGTTGCTATGTGGAAAAGGCTATATATCGTGCAAAATGATTGAACTCGTTTTAACGCTATTAGGTTTATTAAGTCAAAGTTTTACCCCAGAACTTACAGAACCGCCCCAAAAATCAGAAGAAAATTGGGAAGAAAAGATGCACGACCTGTCAAAGCAGCTACACTCCCTACTCGCCCAAATAAAAGAGACGAAGAAGAAATCGAAGAAAAACATGGAAATCCGGCGGCCGAAACCGAAAGTGACCGTGCTGCGAAGCGTATCTCCCGATTCTCTCCACAAAAAGAGACGCATTTTAGGGATCGGCAGAGCAGCGAAATGACAACGAATATCTTTTTGTGGCCTCGGTGACGTTGATCCAAGATGAGGGGCAGAATATCCTTGTTGATACCGGTTTAGGGACCGATTTGCAGGGGCGGAATGGTTTTTTGAAAAGTAAGGCGATGATTTATTCATTTGATTTTTATTTTATGGGGTTTTTCTAATTTTGTCTTTTCCAGAATTAGCCGAGAATAGGTTGGCGCCAAATCAAATCGATGTTGTTGTATCCACACACGGACATCCGGACCATAATGGAGGTGTCTCGGAGTTTCCGGCCGCCACGCACTACCAGGCAATATAATAAAGAGATGCTTAATTCAAACAAAATTTTTAGGGATGGTACGTACATCGCAACAGCATCTTTAATCTTTCAAAATTATTCGAGGTTAATAGCATGATTAAAAGCAATTTTAAAGTCATTTTAGAGTGATAAACAGCCTTTGACTAATAGCGTCTATTTAATAAAAACGCCCGGCCACACATCGGATGACATTTCGGTGATCGTAAAAATGCTGAAAAGTTTGGGAATGTGTCTGTTACAGGTGAATTTTGTGTACAAAAATAAAATACATAAATTTAGGGGATACTTTTATGAGGAGTGAAGACATCGACCATCCAATGATGTGGCGCCCATTGTCTGCTAATGAAACCCAACAAACAATTTCTAGGCGGTAAGTTTTGATCTTCAATAATACGCTCTATATCTTAGATATCTCCTTTGCACCTCTAATTATTTAATACCTGGTCACGGACCCGGATTCGCCGTCACCAAACAGATGCGGAGCAATTTTAGCTGTGATTGAGCGTCTATCAGTATTTTGTGAAACCCTTCCTCATACTCGATCTGGTGTTATGATCCTCAGAATTTATAGTTGGATAAAATTATTTGATCATGTTGGCTTTTTTGGGATAGAACTTGTTCAAAAACAGAATCTGGAGGATCTTTCGCACTTTTCAGCCACGTTAAAGGCAGATGGAGCAGACCACCAAGTTCCTGGCTGCCCTCCATCCGAACATTTGGAGGGTGAGAGACAGCGAGAGTGATAAAGAGAAAGAGAGAGACAGACAGTGAGAGAGAGAGCAACAGATAATGAACAGAAATTGAGAATATCCCAACGGAGGGCATGGGAAAAGATCGTGGTTTGATGAAGAGACGAAGAAGCCGGCGCACCGGGTGGTCGTGGATTGTTTCGAGGGCGGATCGAAAATCGGTTTGATGGCAGACGGCACCACCCCCCTACATCCGAACGCTATATATAGGCCAGCCTGTACAGGGTCATGCTTTTTTATTGTAACATTCGTTTCGTACCCAGCGTCTCTAAACCTTTCTTTTGGTACGCTAAGCTCTTGGCATGGGTATATAACTTGGCTAAATATGACTGGGAGCCGTCGCTGGTCAAGTTGGCACAATTTTCTATTTGGACTTTATCTGCTTCGAACCTACGCGGCTGCTGCGGATTTTATGATGGGAGTCATCTTCTGAACCGATTTTCATAGAAAAGTGATTCTTTTCGAAAGTATTTCACTAGCCGCTATAGATACGCAAATACGCCCGACGCAAATTGTTGTTAGCAAACCGGAAATTCACCGAAATAAGTAATTAAAGCCCGGAGATTTTTTTGCCGACTGATAACAACGAAACGCGATAGTTACCTGATGCAACATCATTTTTTTAGCAAACCAAAAACTTCCTATAATTAATAAAGCCTATAGATATTTCCTACTTATTATCGCGTTCTGTTTTTCTCCAATTTCCACCCCATCCACTCTCCCAAATGCCATCCTCATCCCATGATAATCCAGAGCAGCCTAAGTTCCACGTTCATCGGACCAAATAATACAGAGCTGCACCATCTCCCTCTTCCCTCATCCAGATTGAAGACTGTCTACGGACGGACGGCACAAAATATGTATAGCCTAGTGCGGAGGACTTGCTAAGGAATTGGGCGCATGAGTGAGACGTCTGGCGCTCGCACGCTGCCCGCCATTCCCATCACTCGTTCATTGTGGCGCGCTAGTGCTCGCTCGCTCTGTCTCGTTTTCTCTCTCTATCTCTCTCTCTCTCTCTCTCTCTCTCTCTCTCTCTCTCTCTTTCTCTCACTTGCTGTCTTTCTCAATGCCGTAGATCCACTACAGAAGGTCCGCTGAAAGGTTCGCCGGCATTTTGAAAGCTGGTGATATCAATTTCCTAGATTTTTTTTGGCTACTGTAGGTCCTGAATCAGCTATTTGCCGACATATCATATTCTCCCAACTTCACTAAGTATCCAGAACTTAGGAGAATCGCTGGCGCCTAGCGTGAAGCTTGAGCAGCTTGCATTTCGCCAAGGCGAGATTCCAGGGGAGAAAGCTGAGCAAATGTTGGCTGCCAATGGTGGCTCGCGCGGTCAGAAACACGTTTTTCCCGGAGTTTTCATCATCAATGAAAACTATCTGAAAAAAGTTAGATACATTTCATAATTGACTGTCAGTACACGACATTGGAGTTGGGTGCAATTTGGTCTGCGGAAATGCATGCTAGGTCGCTTACATTGGGCTTAAAGGGTTGGTGAAGTCAATTTGAAATAAAAAAGCCGGTGGATCAACATCTACAAAACACCAAATATCGCAGCTTCTGATCACCAAGTTCCGGAAAGTTAAAGTCTGGCAAAAAAGGCTGGACTTCGCCACTAGAGGGCGTAACACCCTTTATCTCTTTCTCTCTCTCTCTCTCTCTCTCTCTCTCTCTCTCTCTCTTTCTCTCTCTCCCTACACATAGTGATTGAATCAAATGGCGATTGATGATATGTATGGCACCTCAGGGCAGAGGAAGGGCTTATCCCCCCCCGTCCAAATGGCTGGCTGGCAGACGACGGCCGATGGCGGGGTTGTGGCAGGCCGGCTCTATCTGTCCGTGGATCGGAACCTCAGACTCCCCTCCTCTCATTCTCACCCTCAATTCCCCTTCCTCACCTCCTTCCAAAAGCTCGCACGCATATTTCGATCGACCCGGCCCGAAGCCTTGAGGGGGCTCGAGAACTGCACCCCCTCAGTTCTTCATCGTCTCCCTATCCGATCCATATTCTTGAATTCTGTATAGAAGACGCGCCCGCCGGTTCACCTTTTATTTTAGCGTACGTCTTCTGAATTTCTTTATGAGTTTTTTCGTTGGTCACCGCACCTATTGGGACTTTTAGCGATGGCTGATGATCACGGCGAGCCGAAGAACTGTTTGGTGACGGGTGGATGCGGGTTTATCGGCTCGAATTTCATCAATTTTATCCACAACAAATGGTCGTCTACCAAGTGAGTTTTCCTACCGGTTATCGCTGTATAGTTGTGCCTGATTTTGTTTACTTTTTACTTTTTTCTCTACAGCAATTCCTGTTCAAAACAAATTTAAAAAATTACTACGGGGTAATTTTGATCAATAATTTTTCTATTTCGAAAAAGAAAAATAATTAGTTAAATAAATATATAATCCTTAATATTCAGTAAAAACATTAAAAAGTAAAGTCCTGGAAAATTACTTTTTATAGCTTCGTCAACTATGACAAATTGACATTTGGCGCATCTACTGAGCACATCGAGCCAAGAGTGGCTGATGGCGGACGTTACAAATTTATCCACGCCTGCCTCAACGACCAGAAAACCCTAAACAAAGTCCTCTCTGAAAATAATGTAAGTAATCCCCCAGCAATCTCATTAAACCCGTTCAAATTTTTAGATTGACACCGTAATCCATTTCGCGGCCATTACCCACGTTGATGATTCATATGCTGATCGGATAGGCACGATCCAGGTATATATCCAAAATTAAATGGGTATTTTTTTAATAGGAAAATATTATTTCCACCACAACGCTTCTCGAATCGATTGTGAACAGCCAATACAAGGGTGTGAAAAGGCTGGTCCACATTTCCACAGGTTATTTAGCGATTAAAATCAATATAAAAAATTTAGATGAAATTTACGGGGATTCTTCGGAATCTGATACGACACCAAAGACAGAGACAACACTGCCAAATCCCACCAATCCATATGCAGCCAGTAAGGCGGCATGCGAGCTGATTATTCAGGCTTACAATGTGAGTTTAATATTATTGATTTATTACTTGATGTTTAGAAATCCTATAAGCTACCATACGTGATGGTTCGAATGAACAACGTCTACGGGCCACGACAGGCTTACAGCAAATTGATACCGAAGTTCACCAAATTGGCGCTTGACGAGAAGCCGTACCCATTGATGGGTGATGGAAAACATTGCCGGTATGTTAATTTACTAAATTGCATTAAAATAGAGGCTTTTTAGCTCATGGATGTATGTTTCTGATTGCTCAGAGGCCATTCGAAGGGTAACCGAATCGGGCAAGGTCGGCGAGGTGTACAACATCGGCACCGAATTCGAGATGACGAATATTGAGCTGACAAAGAAAATTCATGCCATCGTCAACAAACTACAGAATCGGTATGGAAATATCGATAGCTTTTGATTTACGGATTTTTAGTGATCAAAACGAACCTACTTTCACTCCAATCCCTGACCGGCCATATCACGATCGAAGATATTTCATTGATTTTGGCAAAATCAAGAATGTAAGTCTTAAACAATCAAAATTTCATTTTATATTTTCCAGGCTTTTGGATGGCAATGCACAACCCCATTCGATGAAGGCCTTATGGAAACCATCCAATACTACGTGAAACAGCACCACAAGGAGCAAAACAAGAGCAGAACCCAAGCCTAACTTATATTTATTTTTAAGACTACCATGGAAATCGGTGCTATTTGATGTCTCAAGCAATGTTAGTCATTCAATTTATAACCTTGTATTTTTATTGATATGTTCGGAATTGTTACGGTATTTTCTTTGCAACCCGCAACGCCTTTCAACGTGCCTTATTATTGTCTTTCGCACCTGGTGATTATGATGTTTAAGAATATAAAAATAAATATTTATTTCTAAACACGATACCAATTCTGAGAGCGAATGTAAGCGAAATGCTATTGGGGGGTTTGGGGAAATGGGCGTGGCATGGCCCTATTCTGAAAATTAAAAATTATATCCGAAGACAACGCGAGGCTATGCACGTACAGACCGTAATATTGCTATAGAGAAGAGGCCGGGCTTATTTTGTTTGTGATTTTGATGGAAAGGGAGATGGAAACACAGAACATCAAAAAGCTAGATACATGGAGGATTGGCTTTTGGGAAAGAGGTGCATTCGTACTAGAATAGTCGACTATATTCTAGTATCAAAAAGCGCTACATGCGGCTGCAATAAATTAAGAACGAAGGTCTCGGACACCAACCGTTCTGGCTTTTCTTAAAGGGAGCTTAATGGAATTGAATTTTGAAGTCGAGCGACCATTTTTCGGATCTTAGCAGCCCGTATATCGGTAAAATAGTCAAAACCATTGGGCTGAAGTGGGAGGTGTTTGGGTACGACGAAGTCTTTCTGCACTGTCAAATATATCACTGCTGCGAGGGTGGGAAGACAGCGCCCTTTAAGACAAAGTTAATTTTGTTGAGAAATGGTATAGTCGGCAGGGCAAACAAAAGGATGGGGGATGTATAGTTGGGCATCGAACACAACTAACGACTACGCGAGATGACTTGTACTTTATGGTCGAGGAGGAATGAAGGGACGCTTTGGGATGGGCGGCATTTGGCCATTCGTCGGTGTTGTTCCTCGGCTAAAATAAATGGATTATTGTGTTGGAAATGTGTAATGTTGCCAATCGTACATGCTAGGGGGGAAGCGCCCAAAAAGTGGGCAATAATGGCTCGCGAAAATTTTGATTTGTGGTTTCGGGGAATGGATTTGAGGAGCAGGGATAAATTTTTTGGGTTTTGGAATTTTTAAACGCAAATTCAGGGGGGAATCCATATACACCTATGAAGCTCTGAGTCTCTCTTTGCGTATATAGGCGTATCCGTAGCATTATAAAGCGAACGTCCGCCTTCGGATGTTTCCAGCCATTTTTCGATTGGTCTAGGGATAATTGCTGTCACAATCCATGAAAGTGCATAGCAGCCATTACTACGTATGCACCTATGTTCGCGGAGAGACTATGGCCAAGAGAAGGTTCGAAGCGTGGATAGGTGTAGTCGTACCCATGCCAAAGCTTGCGTCTTAGAGGGGCTAGGTAACGAAAGAATTGGCATTTTCCATCATCTTGACATGTTGACGGTTTGACGGAAAATGTATTTCTCTACTTCCTAACCCCCGTTAGACGTATAATGCAATCTTTCTTCGGTCGCACGAACAAGGGAGAAGCTTGAAAATTCGGAAAAGCGCATGCGTTTGAAATTTCAACCAAAAAAATCTTCTAGCAGCCCCAGAATCCATTTCCCCCAACCCTTCCATGTGGGGGGGAAGGCTACAGTCAAAAAACGATAGCAACGGCAAAACTGAGGCCCAAATAGTGTTCACGCCACGAGGTCGCACGGTACAACAATAGTCACGGGCTACTTCGTAATGTTACCATTCATTCATATCTCCCTCTCTCATTTTTCTATTGCTGGGGACGCGGTGGGGGTGGGCCACCGGGGCCGGGTGGCCCGGGTGGGCCTGGACGACGCCTGCACAGACACAGATAGAGTAGTATAATTCGAGAGAAAGAGAGAGTAGGGTGGTATTTTATTAATATTATTCTTTTCTTTATTAATAGGGGGTAAGCTCCAGTATACCCCCGCCCCGGCTGATATTCCGATGTTTCCAGCCTAAGATTTATTAATGTTCGCTACTTTTTCGCTTGAAACGGAACGTATTCTTATACTAAAAATTAGGCAAATATTTTGGTGTACTTTACAACACCAGAGCATCGCCCGGAGTCGAGCTATAATGTTCGGGTCGGCTGGACGGGGTAAATTTGAGCATCACCTTATAATTAATTATATATGATTAGTCGTATTTTTGCTGAACAACAAGCAATACGACTTTGCCATTTTAAAACATTTTAAAATTACAGTAAAATTTAGTACGCAGAATGACGTCACACCAAAATTTTCGTTACGCAAAAACCATTAGGGAGAAATTTCCAGATCCAAATCGAATGAACTGAAATTTTTTGGGAGAAATCTTAAGAAGCCGTATATAACTATTGATTCAACAATTTCGGTATCCTAAAAACTCGTAGAATCAACGAAATCTTTCGATAAAAAGTAAATAAAAAGTCGAGTTATCGAGTTTCAGTATTTAGATTTTGACGTAAGGAAATTTCATCGGAATTTCTGCATAATAATTTTCAGCGGCACGAATTTCTACATAATTAATTTTTCGCATAACGTTAGTAAATCAACTTTCCCAATCAATCCTATTTCTTAGTATGTTTGCCAATTTTCTTCACGCTCTATCAATGCATTCTCCAAAAACGCTATCAACTACCGGGACTAAAATAAGCCTACATTTCATTACTTCCACCAGGTCGAGTTCCTCTAAAATGAGGGGATCTTATGAAATAGTGTCAGTAAAAAAATACGAATATATTTTTGGTATTTTTTGTATGCTTACTGAGGAATTGATGGAGGCATTCCACCGGGTGGTGGTGGGCCACGCATTCCTGGTGGTGGAGGGCCACCCTGGCCAGGGCGGGGAGGCATCGGAGCGTTTCGGTTCATCCCTGGAATTTATTTACTTCATGTAAATTCGGTTTAAATTTAAACAATTTAATTCGCTAATCTCGCTTCTTACTATATTTTAAAAATATTTTTTGTGAGAAAATTCCGTCTCCCCGCGCCCAGAGGAAGAATTTTAGGGTATGTATGCCACGTCATTTGGTAAGTCGTGTTTTTCAAAAATTTGAGAAACCAAGCACCTTAAAATTACTATTATTATGGTAAAACCGCTGTAGTTTATTGGGAAGCAATCCAGATATGTTGTAACTCACGGTATCCTGTAAAAATCGCCAGAGATGTGTTTAACATATTTGACGCAATGCGATTTTCAGTTCTAGGTTAACCTAATCCCGATCCAAGTTGTCATTTTGTTAGAATAATTAAAAATCCAAATTTTCAGTCCCCCGACTAATAATTTTCGATTCAAATTTTGTGGAGAGGCGCAAATAATTGGTTGCCACGGGCGGCTTCTCCAGTCCCTATTATTTCCGATGCAGGGTTTCGAGCCATAAAAAGGCATTTTCTCACCGGGTCCCGGCGGGGCTGGGGCCGCTCGATTGCCCATCGTTGGGCTTGGCCCATTCCGATAATCGGCCGCCGGGGTGGGAAGGGCGGCGCTCATGTTAGAGACGTCAATGTTGCTCAGATTCACCTGTAAATTGTTAAAATATTGGAATTTGGGTAACAATCTATGGAGTTTAGGATTTAAGGGTTTTTTTACTAGCTAGTAAGGTAAAACACATGCGCCATTGACCAACCTCATTAATAATTTTGAGCGTGTCCTTGATGGCCTGATACATTCGCAGCAGCTCCTCACGCTTTTGAGCTTCACTTTGTGACTCTTCCATCAGAGCATCTGTATCGCCACATTGATAGAGATGGGCTAACAATTCGTTGTCCAGGAATTCGCCGACCTAGAGGACAAATTATTTGCATCCATCGCTGAATCTTACCTGGTTGACGATGAGCAACATGATACATTTGGGCACAAGATCCCGAATTGTCTTCGTTACAATTAACATGTACGAATCGACCAGGTTCCGAATGGTTTCCACTTGACGTTCCACTTGTGGATCCATCGAAGACATCGATTCCTCTTGCTGCTCGGACTAAAAAGGTAAATTTCCCAAAATGAAAACCCTGTTTTTAAGCTACAACAAAATTAGCATGCACCAGACCTGACCGATGATCTTTTAAAATGTACCTCCTAAAGAACGGACAGTTTAAGGAGAATTTTATCATAAACACACCTCTGACTCGGCAAGCTTTTGCTTTTCTGGATATACGCCAGCGCGCAGGAAGGACGCCTTCCAGGCATCAACATCATCAAGGTTCGCGCATCCCAGCTCGAGCTGCTTGTAATCCTTGTAGATATTTCTAAAATGATTGCCATTGTTTTTCGGATGCACGTGGGCACACCGCGTGCAAGTGGCATTCAGGTCGCCTATGAAAAAAATTTGGGGGGCAACGCCATGCAGGGTTTAGGAAGGAGCGATAGGTTTGAGAGCACTGTAGGATGGCTGAAGCGCATCAAGTGCAAAAAATTTTTCATAACTCTGTGGATTTTTTATGCACTTCCACCATCGATTTGGTTGAACAATCGAGTGGAACAGAAGAGTTCTAGAGTCTGGAGGATAGATCGTCGTCACTGTACAAATTCTTGGATATCAACTAGGGGCTCCAGACCAAGGCGTACACCTCAATTACGACACCTAATGACGAGAGCACTTACGCCGAACGTACGCCCCGTCAGTATAACCTACTTTCTAAAAATCGTCTTTGGTTAATGATATCTTGGGTGCGGTTTAGGATTCGATTTATCCTTTTTTAAAAGGCTAAGAAGCGGCGCCATCCCATCACACACTAATGAGGGGCGAGCGGTTACTCATTAGAGCGTGAACAGGGGGTGTCAGGGTTAGACGGGCCCTCTGAATGCCTTTAAATTCAGCACAAAGCGTGTTAGGGGTATAACTAATGCTGATTGTCGGTGTCATTATTTCCAATTCCCAAGCAACAGTTCTGATAGATATAGGAGGGGACAAAAGGTCAAGATACCACCAGGGAGCACAGCGTTAAATTGTTTTGCAAGACAACACTTACGATCTAAAGATAATGGGTTCGTTTTGGTATTTCTGGGAATGGAGGTGAAAACCTACTTTCCGTCCGGATAGAACAGGGCAAATTTGTGTTGGCGGGACATGAAACCGCTTTCCAGATCGCGCAGCTTGATACCATCAAGTGGCATCATGTATTTCTTTTCTTTTTCTTCATCATCCTAAAAACACAGTACTTGAAGGTTATCAAAATAATTTCCTACCTTGTACCAGGAGAGACTTTCAGATGTCAGCACAAACCAGCAATCCTTGGATCCACGGACAAACGAAATGTTATGGACTGATAGCCATCCTTTTCGGATCACCTGGTTGCCAAGGTTTTTCTTGGCGGTCGAGGCTGAGGCTTTGGCTTCAGCACTAAAATTGTCTTTATGAAAAAAAACATTTTGATGACTTACTTGCTAAAACCAACGAAATCCTCGTGGTTGGTATTCATGTAAGCCAGCTCGCAATCTACCATGAAGCCGATTTGGTTTTTGGCGTACTGCTCCTTCTCGCGCATATGCGAGACGACAATCCGTTCGACTTCCTCACGTAGGCGTGGGTATCGGCCAAGCTGAGATATCTTATTAAATTGACGAATTCTTTCTCACCGAGTCTGCCGTTTGGCGCACAACGTTAGCCAACTCTCCAACAACGAGGTCAACACATTTCTGGGATGGTTCACGAAGACGGCCGATCTGTTTCTTTGCGATGAATTTGAAGGCCTTGTCAGGAGTGAATAGGCCAACTCTGAAAGGTGGGTTATAGTTTTTGTTTCATAGATTCTACATTACAAAGTCGCGAAAACTTACTGAACACCATGAATATTCCTAATCGCGAACTGAATCTCCCGTCTCATTTCCTTCTCGTCAATTTCCATCTTCACAATCTCGAATGGGAAACGCTCGTGGAAGATACGGTTGATGCGAGCACCACCGCTCAACTCATTTGTCGATACCATATTGGCTGATGAGCCGTCAATGGAACGCTCGATGTCACGCGTGAATTGTTGCACCATTCTAAACAAAGTTCCTCAATTATCTCTATCAACAAAACATACTGCATGAGGGCCTTTGTTTTTCTGGAAGGATCATTCGGCTGGAAATTCTTGTATTCAGCCACGTCTTTTTCTAGAAGGAATAGTCGCTTTTGAAGGGCATCACGAAGTGAGGGCAGTGTATCCCTGAAATAATTCCTAGGATTGGCTTTGATATACTGTCCTACCTAATATGATTTGTCAGTTGTTGATTGAGGGTATATTGCAGGTATGGGGTTCCGAGACGATCAGCCATATGCCGATATGAGGGATGAGATAAAAAGAATTTCCGCTCGGCTTCAAGCGCAGATTTGATGTCCTTACGGCCAGTGATATCTTTCTGGCCTCGGTTGACGACACCAACATATCCTGAAAACTGTGTAAATGATCTAGGAGCCAGAAATTACCTCGTCGCAGCGTGAAGAGTCTGTTTTCAAGGATTTCCTTTGCATCAGTCCCTTCGTCCATCAGATCGAGCTTTGTGAGGACACCGATGGTGCGAAGACCTTGAGGGTCGACCTCTTTGGCCAGCTTTAGGGCATCGGAAGTGGCCAGATCACTGTTGGCCGGGGTGACAGCAAGGATTAGGCAAGATTCACGAGTGATGTATTGCAAGATCATGTCACGGATCTGTTGCTCGATATCGGCTGGTTGGTCACCGACGGGCACCTATAATAATATTTACAAAATTTGATAATAACAGCAAAAATTACCTTGGTCAATCCAGGCAAGTCGATCAACGTCAAATTTAGGACATTTGGTGAGTGGACTCGGAGATTAATGGCCATCGGTGAGATTCCCTTGTTCACTCCGGTCACACGATCCGTCTCGTCCTCAATCTCTTTCCTAACCGCATCAAAATCGGTGAACATGTGTCCCTTCTTGTGCAGAAATTCGGCATATTCTGTAAATTATTATTAATGATGGTCGGGTAAATAGTTCTTACCATTGCGATCTTGTATCAATTGTAGAACCAATGGCCGTCTGGTTACAATGCCGGAACCTCGAGGCAAGAAGTCTCTGTGATACGACATTATTTTTTTTGGGGTCATGGACTTACTTTCCGACGAAATTTTCGAGTACTGATGATTTACCGGCACTCTGGCCACCAACGACGGCAATTTGGGGCAAGTCGAAACTGACATTGGTGCCGAGTTGTGTAAATGCATCCTGAAAATTTTGTTTTTATCGTTTATGCCCCGATTTCATTTTTTTGCACTTGGCATTTTGGTGATTGATCTTTCAAGCAATGAGAGAAAGATTAAGATTATTATCTTGCGTTGTCATCGCGAAAACACGCACACACCTGAACCCTGTTGATCACAGGTATCAGCGCCTGCATACCGGAATTCACCCACGCCATCCTCTTACTCCGAAATCGATGTGGAGCCCCTGAAATTGGATATTATGCGTGGCGCGAGAGCGGGGAGGATGGGCGGAAGGCTTCGGGCGGAGAAAAGCCGGAGAGCATGGAAAAGCCAGACAAAAAAAGAAGAGGTGCAGTCAGTGGAAAGAGCCTGGAAGCGGTCGGGCGGTGTGAGGAGGGGGGGCAAAAGAGGATCGATCTAGGGTTGGTCTGTTTGTATATTGTGTTGAGAAATAGCCCGGGGTACAAATCACATTTAGTCATAGCAAGAAAATATCGTGGGGGTGATGATGAGTCAGCGAGGGGTTGGAGGGAGTGAGGGGAAGCACCAGTGGGTGAGATACATGGTGAGCCTATGGACAGTGGTTAGTGCGCACCGATACAAGGAAACACGCCACGGAATTGGGGGGAAGGTGACGAGTGGCAGATGGATGGGATAGATAACGAGTCACTAAATGGTATTTGAACTATCTTAATTGGGGGTAGAAGTTAGGTTTTGAACAGACAGAGTGTGTTTCCGTTTCATCTGCTAGTTCTAATGTACCAACTAGACGAAAATCACGCAATAAACTCAAAAAAAACTTCTGACGCACCACCTGTTGCGCTTATTTTTTTATTAATAAGATATATTAAACTAAGAATGAAATTTTTGGGGTGAAATTGGATCAATGGCGTCACTAGTCTGGTTATATGCAAACAGTCACTCCTGGTGCTTGCTGCTGGCCATAGAGAGAGAAAGAGAGAGAGAAGGGAGGACCGGGTGACGCACTCCCGATAAACAATAATATTGGCCGAGACAAACGAGCCAGCCAAAACGGGGGGGGACGGGCCGAACAGCGAGGATAGGTTTCGGTGACGAATTGGATTTTCGTGTCTGATGATTCGACGAGTCGATAAGAAATTTGGACACGTTTCCGAACAAACTTTTCTTTGGAAATCCGGGTAAATCCTATTTTAAGTCAGAAAATACCAGGTATTAATTGTTTGTCAACGTGCACTTTCGTTGGTGTACCGCGATAGCACCTAGATGTGAAGGATGGCAATGGCAAATTTAATACATCATTAGATCCGTAAGGATCTGGAATGGCCTTGCATTTATCAGATTTTACAAAGTCAGCCCTTTGTAAAATCTGATAAATGAATTAAAATATAAATTGAATATAAATTGTAAAACCTTTTCTAAAAATTTGCATATATGTAAGGGCTCGGAGGGTATATTCACTTTTATTCTCGGAATTCATCAGAAACGGCACCATGTGTAAGGAGGGTTCTGACTAACAGACCGGCGGTCAGGGTTGAAACTGTTTTAAAATCAGGATTTATGACACATAAATAAATTATTTTGAAATTTATATGACCATCTCGACCCCCAATCAACAACCATGGGATAGCAAGCAAAGAACTAGCATGACAGCCGGGGAGAAAAAAAAATGACGACCACGTAAAAGACCGGAATAAATTAGGGGCGTGACGCTCTTTTGCGACTTTTCCGAGGGCGATGAATAATTGAGGGCGACGGCTTTTGATGGGGCTTCAGGGGTGGAGGCGCGGGGTTCTCGACGGCTTCAAGTGAGTTTTCACAAACCGAAATCTCGGGGTTAAGGGGCGGGGTTTTAAGCATAGGATTTTAAAACTTGATGAGTGTAAAAGTAGAGTCATGCACACCGGTTTAGCTTAGTTCTAGACCCGTTTACCCGGGTAGCGGAATGCCACTCCTTGTTCGAAGAAAAGCACACAAAAAACGCATTACATCGAGATTTCCATATCCCCAAAATTACCTAATTACCTAATTTTGATTGAAAGATTTGTTCGGTTCTTTCAGCTTTTCACCGCACCGGAACCAATTAATCGACATTCAAAAATTATGGTGAAATTCCGACCTAGGAAAAGAGTCTTACGGTGGCTTCCGGCGTAATATATTTCAATGCAATGAATGCCTCTTTATGTCTTCAAAATTTGGAAGTTTTCAAGGGCTTCTAACGTCCCTCTGGCCCGCTTATATATTCTGAAAAAAAATAGAGGGGACCATGCTTACGGTAAACCTAAAATTCAACGTGTACACAGCTCAGGTTTGAATTTCATTTCTAGAATTCAGAAAAGAAAATGTGCATTTGTGTGGATATGTGTGGAGAAGCCTGGTTGGCCCTGTTGGGTGGATTGGATGGCCTCGAGGCCGTGTGGCGGAAGCAGATAACTTGGGGGCCCCCTCCCCTAGTGGGCCTCTAGCCCCTCGCAGCAGCAGCAGGAGAGGGCCCCTCGTTTGGGTTCAGGGCCTTGGTCGGGGGCCCAGGGCCTCTCTGCTGTGGTGGGGGAGCACAAAAAAAGAAGCCGAGAAAAAAAAGTTGTGGCCCGTATGTGGGGGAGAGGGACGGGCAGAGAGGAGCCTATTGAGAATCAATGCCCGCTAGGGCCAGTCCCACGCACCTCGGGCCACCTCCCCTGCCCCTTCACACACAGGGCCCTGGTCCCTGGGCCACCTCCCTCGAGGGCCCAACCCGCCGATAAGGCCCCCACTCCCCATTCCATAGCATAAAAAATGAATAAAGGAGCAGGGGAAAGGACAAAGAACGCCCGAGAGGGCCCTTAAAACTTTTTCTTTACCTAGAACGGATTGGGGTAGGCGTATTAAAGGGATGGGGAAGTCAGAGTAGAACAAGGCTAGGGAAATGGATCTAAGGATGATATAAAACGTTTATATATTTAAAAGGCAATATTTTTATGGTTACCGTGGTAGTGCGGGCAATACTGGGTAGGAAATCACCAAAATATCCTTTATGAGGCCAACTATATTTTGGTATCAATTTCAATATTAAAAGTTAAATTCAGGGCAAATATAAGATAGCGCATAAAAACGAGTAGATACCCAACAGTAAAGGGCAATTTAATTTCGCACTTTTTATCACGATTTCAAAAATGTCAGAAGGACCTGAATCCTGGACCAGCACCCAAAACAATAGACCAAAACGAACCAAAGCGGATTCACACGAAATCCAAATCATCCAAAATTTCAGAAGCCTTCCCTCCCACACGACCAAAAAATCGGTGACGATACTCGATAAGATCTGGGAGACAACAACGGCATCGAAAAGCAACCTGAAAAATCCCTAGGGGGAGACCAAATGTGGGAGGAGGGGGCCCATTCTGCATACGCGGGAATACGAGAAAAGGCCCTAGGAGGGCTCGAAACCCTAACCCGGGCCACGAAAGATTAGGGGACGACCCAAAAAGGGAATTTTTTGGGAAGAACAAACGGGAAATGGAAATCTATTGCGTCACCCGATGGACATCCATCTTTTGGTAGACCCGCTGAATTGGATTGAGCGGCAGGGTAGCAATCCTAAATTAGCGTATATGGGTGTTGAGTAATAGGTACATTTTGGGGCGTAGAAAACGATGTTAGATAGGAATTTCGTAGATTTTTGCAGTTTCAAAAATTACTCGGCGCTCTAATGGGATCAAATTGAACCCTGTGCGTTTCGCGAAGGCAGGGAAAACTGGTTTACCAATAAAAAACGACCGGATGCTGCCCGCCTAAACTTGTCCCCACCACAACACTGATTTTGCCACGGCGCATAACCGAAAAAATGTCTATTTAATAACGGGCCCCTTTTCAATAGGCCCGGGCATTGGCACTGTTTATTTTTCAGCTCTCCCCCCTTTTCCACGCCCGAATGAACCACCACCTATATTGCGCACCACCCCACGGATTGTCATCGTTTTATTGTGCCGAAAAAAGAACGAGAAACGCGGAAAGCACGGACCAATTAAAAAGAAGTATCACATTTCGATCAGTTTTCGTTTTCAACTAGGTAAAGTGAAGAGGGTGCAGGGTGTTGGGTATGCTAAATTATGGACTAATTGCTTGTGACAGCACCAAATAGTGGATACAAGTTTTATGAAAAGAAAAGAAAAGGGCTGGCTATGCAAGGTGTACAAAGACTTGTTACAAAATTACTGGTCAAAGGGGTCAAAGTGTTGAGTTAACGTTGATCTATAACGATCAGTTACGCCCTGAATTTTGCTTTCGGTCGAATACCAAAAAGTTTCGGTCATCAGTTACCCATTTTTTGGGGGGAATGAGAACCCAAAATGGCAAGCGGGAAATGGAACTGAAAATGGAGTAGCCGCTAGCAGCTAGGCAAAAAGCCAGGGGGTGGATGAGCTTTTGAGGGGGGTGCACATGTAATCTTCCGGCAAATGAGCAAAGGGTAGGGTTAGAGAGTTGAGGAAGGGGAGCCGTATCGAAGAATAGGGAAAGTAATTACTACGCAATAACATTTCTTAATTATATGGTCATTTGGTTTTTCGCATTGATTGCATCGAGGATCGGTTGTCGCTTGATTTGGTACCTAAATCAGTATTTGTAATATATATATAAGCAATAAAGGATAAATTAAAGATCGTGATTAAAGAGGGCAGTTATTACCTGTGGCGGAGCTCTTCCAGCTCCTTATCCATCTCTTTTTCTAGGTTATCGCGCTTGGCGATCAGGTCCTGCAGCGGTAGAGCACGGAGCTGAATTTTAGAGGTCAACTGCATATTATGATGCGACTTACGAATTCGAAGTTTTCTCCTGAAGGGACAGCTTGGTGGTATGCGGCTGGGTGCACTAAAAAGATTCACGTTAATTTTAATATCTTTTAAGGCCGAGCTTATATAGAGATTGTATTTTTAAAGATCCACTTACTCGTCTGAGATGTATGTGATGAGGGCATGGTGTCATTCTGATCGCCAACCGCAGAGTATGTTTTGTCTGCATAATTGACGAGTGTCTCCTGGTTTTGGTGGAGGACATCAAGGGCTTCGTTGTATTGGGGCGGGGGGCCATTGCCGTTGCCATATTGTGCTTGTGGCACTAAAAAGCAACATGTGTGCACCAGCAGGGTTTACATTCCTTTGAGTCGTGCCCTTTTGACATGGTGATTTACAACGAATCGTATGCGCGCGTATTTGCAAAATTGAGGTGTCAAAACAAGAAGAATTCAAAGTAAAAGCCGAAGCAGAATAATTTAAAGCTCATCTTACCTCGTGCGCTAATAGGCACCCTTCCGCCAACCCATAACAACTGCAGCTGTGTCTTCAACGATTCGGCAGTTTGATAGGCTAAACATTTCGTAACTAAAGAAAATTCCAACATACCAGCCATTGTTGGATGTTGAACTAAAGTTCCATCATCTCCTAACGATATCATAGTAGCATCCTCGTTCCGCAACATCGTACCCGATTCGCTGTCATCCTAAAAAGCAACCTTCAAATCCCTTCCTCATCGACAAACCAGGCCCATATGTGCGGCAGCTGCATTATTTGCCTCGGCAATGTCCTTGGCGTCTTGGATCATTTCTTCTAGGATTCCTGGGCCCTCGGCGTTTACTGAAAAAGGATGCGGGATGGTGAATCATACGTTGGTGCACAAACCGATGAACGGATGTTTGAGTAGTTCGGCAGCTGTTGCCCGCTCATCCGGTTTTTTGACAAGACAGCGGATGACGAAGTCGTTGAATTCATGAGACCAATCGCTTGGTTCTTTGAGGGTTGGTGGTGGTTTTGTCGGAATCATGAAGATCGCCTGCAAAAGGTTGCTTCTAATACATTATTATTGAAAAATTTTACATCAAACCAGGGTTGAAAAACCGCTTCACGACTTTTCAAGTGAATTGTGAAAAAGGCCTGTTACTTTTTATAGGCTATCCCCTTTCGGGGTATGCTAATTTGTCCTATCAAACCTACAAAAATCTAATTTTAATAGCGAAAATGGTATTTTGTAAAAATCTGATATGTCGGCACACGTCCCCGGTCCATTCTACACCTAATGACGTTCTTCCCTATCCGAAAAAAGCTTCCCTGGGGCCCTAGTCACGGAAGTTGTATGCAAATGCGCACCCACAGACATTTTTTATACATAACCAGCGCCCAAAACTCGCTTCGCGGGGCCTTAGGCGCTGGAATGCGGCCTTTGCATGAACAATTTGAATTTTCCATAGCTCGGGTCCTTCGGACCCTCCTCCCCCTACCGACCACACACGCGCCTGCAACTGGGAAGAATGAGGACATTTCTATTTTTTCACATTATGCAAATTACCCCCAAAAATGAGTAAAACCGCTTTTAACTTTGTAAACTTGTATTTTATCGCAATTCTGAAAACGCCATCGGAAAGAGGAGGGTCGATTATCCGTAGTGACGAAGAATTAGCGCATTTTATCCAGGGGGAAGGCCCTTAAATCGGGCCTCGAAAGTGACATCCACACACACACAGAGATACACCCCAAAATTATATAAGGTAGGATAGGATTACATCTAAAACTTTCTGACTTACCCTCATTGGATGGATTTCAGCATATGGTGGCCTCCCCTCAGCAGCTTCAATAGCCGTAATTCCCAACGACCACATATCAGCCTTTGTGTCATAACCAATTTCCTCGATAACCTCCGGAGCCATCCAAAATGGTGTCCCGATTACCGTATTCCGCTTTGCCATTGTATCCTAAAGACAATAATCGTAATTTTTGCCTATTTACCGTCAGCTGTCCAGCCACCCCAAAATCGGCCAATTTCGCGTGCCCGTCGATCGTCAATAGGATATTTCCAGCCTTGATATCTCGATGGATCTTCTTCAAGCCGTGGAGATATTGCAGCCCTAGGTGAAGAGCTATAGTTTCAACTTTAAGTTCTAACCTTTCAACGTATCCCTCAGGACCGAGGAAATCTCCATTTCGTTCAATGTTTTGCGGCGTAGTCGCATAATGTCGGAGACGGAGCCAGCCCCGCAATATTCCATCACGATCTGTATCCATTCTTAGTTGATTTGTAGTAATTTATAGACCCACCCATAAATCCGAATTTTTGAAGTACGACCCGTAGTATTTGACTACATATCTGCTATCACATTGTTGCATGATGCTGATTTCTTTGATGATTTCCTAAATGAACAGCGAACTGGTATGAGCTCTTCTGATGTTGTGTTTGGTGTCGAGAAAGGGATTAAATAGGGAAAGCACCTGTAAATCAGTGTCGACAGGTACTTTCTTGATGGCTAAAGTGTGGTTGGTCGTCTTATGTATTGCCATGTGGACGGCGCCATAAGAACTGAAAAATAAGTGCTGAACGAAGGTTAGATTGCTGACTTACCCTTCCCCGAGTTTGCACACTATATCGAACACCTCTTCCGGTTGCTTGTTCAGATCGGCTGGCAATAGGGTAAAGGTGTCTCTGTAAAAAAATGCTGATTTCGCGCCTTCAAATATTGGCTATCCTTGCAGTAAAGTTTACAGTTCGTAACTCCAAATTAGCGACATTTGCGCTTTCGGTATTTGCAAGCTCAATTCCTTTTATTTAGGGTTGCATCTAGCACGTACTCACCCAGGGGTCACTGACATTTTGCCTAAACTTTGCCCCGGACACCCGTTTGCAAGAAGGGCATTGGGGTCAACAGCTGTTACCCGGGTTGAGATTTCGTTGTCAAGGTGCTGTCAAGTTTCCCTACCAGCCCCAAGTTTTTTGACCAATGATGAAATGAACTAAGGATTACTATAGATCTATAAAAAAAAGAATTAGAAAACGTAAACTCACGTGGACGGCTCGGGAGCGTCGCGGGCCTGGTCGACGGTGGGCGCCATGGTGGCGTTAGCGGCCGACGTTGTCGTCGAGGCCGTCGCCGGGGTGGGGCCGTTTATAAGGTTGGAGAAGGCCGAGCGAATAATGTCCACAAGGAGGAGGGGCGGGAACGAGCCGTTCATTCGCCGCCGGTCACACTCCGCAGCTGATTGATTAGAGGGCACAGAGACGCACGGAAACAGGCCACAGAGGAGCGCAACGGAAAGAGGGCTGAGCTGCTGGTGCGGGGAAAGACGGGCACTTTAGGAAGGGGCGGCCCGGCGAATCAGCGACTCCGCGGCCCTGTCGATTCGCGTCGATCTTGACTACACGAACCTTGTGGTAGGGTACCTCCCTCCTCTTTTGTTCTGTTCTCTTCATGCGACGGCGTATCGCGCCGCGTGTTCTCCATGCGTTCACCCGTTTCGGATGTCGTTGCCCCTGCCATGCGCGTGTCTTTTTAGGGCTGCCCGGGCCCCCAATCTAGCAACTGCGTCGCCCAAATCAACCTTTTTTCGTCTTTTGGACGCCAGGCGGCATCCGAGCCAATCAAGCGAATTGAATCATTTTCGATGTATGGAGAATGTGTGCTGCCTATAAGAAAAGAAAACATTTTCGACGAACGACACCTTTTTTTGCAACATCCAAGGGAAAATTCCTTTTAATTGCTATTTTTGAAAGAAGATTCATTGTAGTTTGCTCGGCCGTGTTTCGTTTACCTCTTAGAATTCACGGATTTCTTTCTGCATTGGGAAATCTTGCAAATTTGAATTTGAAAATCTAGATTTTTGTCGCTCATTTTTCAGGCAACTAGCTAAACATTGTATATAGTCAATTTATCCTTTATTTGTAGTATATTATCACTTATTCATATCCATTAGTTCGGCACCTTGTTTTCCGCGCACATGCAGATGCCGATAAGGTTCTGCTGCTGCTCTTCCGCCTTTCTTTCGTGGCCCGTTATTTCCAAAAAGGCTTTTCCTTTTTTCCATTCTGACTTTTCGTTTCCTTTTTCTTTCTCAAACGCTGTGCTTGTTCGCAACAATTGTTTTTCAGGCTTGGGTATGATCGGGCCAAGCTTGCCGAGTCATCTGGTGGCTGAAGCCCGTTCCTCTCCGGATACAACACAGTCTGGTAGACATATTTTGCGTTTTCCCACTCTCTTTTTTAGATGATGAAGGTGATGTACCCGTGATCGGACCTTCTCTCCCCGCGAACTTCTCTGCTCCTCTCACGACGCCCTCAACGGCCGAAGATTCTCTTCCAGACGTGAAGGCATCATCGTCGGCCCCTCCCCGGCAGGTAGCTCTTGCAAATCTTTCTAATTAGTTTTTTTAGACAAACGATGACTATGATGATGACGATTGTATTGGGCCACAGCTTCCGGGTTCGAATAAGGAGCTCGAAGAACTTTCTTATTATGAACGACGTCACAACTTCGAGCAAGAACAAGCCAGTAAGGTGTGTTTTTCAACCTCATTTTTTGTTTTCGAGGCGCGTATAAAAAATGTGTGGTAGTTTTCGATTCGAAACTGATTTTTCAGGATGCCAAGGGAAAGCGAGACGAGTGGATGCTGAGCCTTCCGGAAAATACGCACTACGGCTTCGGGGCCAAAACGGTATTTTGTGATTATTGATTGTCTTTATTTTCACTATCTTTTAGTTTTCTAAGCGTGGTATTGCGAAAGTCTCTGACGATTGGCTAGAGACTCCTGAAGACAAGCGTCGGAAGGAGGAACGCGGGGAGGTTGCTACGCCCTTGGTCAAGCCGAAGTCTGCTCAAGATTTAGCACAGGAGGAGATTGTCCGTCAAATGAATGTGAGTGATTTCATCATTGCTTTATTTATTCTGTTGCTTTATAGGTTGTTCGGGGAGAGTCATTGATTGTGCAACATTCGAAAAAGGCCGGAGGTTCCGCAGCTGGTTCTGTAGTGTCAGGACCTGGCGGCCGGAAGGAATGGGATCGAGAAACCGAGATGAAGGTAATAGCAAGAGTTCTTATTATTATTTTTGCTTTAGGTTGTTGGCCTCAAAGATCTTTCGGCTGCTGAACTGAAGGAGCATGCTGCGGGCTTGGGAACGCGGTTCGGCCACGGGACGGAGAAGAAATATCTTTAACCGGGTAGTCTTTCACTTTTTTGTTGTTATAATGTCCCTTTTGATATGGACCCCAATGTCTAGATACTGTCCTGGGCGAATCCCTAATTTTGGAACTAGAAACTTTTTTGATTCGTGCTTATGTGTCATTAGATCTCGGTGTTTAATCTGTATCCGTGTGTTGAATAAACAGGTGATTTGAAAACGAATGGCGCAATTTCTTTGTTATTGGCTTTTTTTGGATGGATTCCATCGGCCCGGCGTGGAATCGAAGTGGCGGAATAGTTTTATACGTAAAACACGTTTATTTACACGAAAAGAACATCCCAATGATTAGCAATAAGTTACAGGAAAGGCACGTGGAGAGGTACCCAAATTGTAGTTTACCCGAAAAGCTTTGAAATGATCCAGTATGGCTAGCAACAAAAGAACAGGAACACAACTGAAAGAAAACCCGTGTGAGAAAGAGCACAACACTATGCAGAAATCATTGAATGATATGTGGCAGAGACCGGTGTACTTCGGTGATTGGAGATTGGTTGCCCTGAGGGGTCTGTCTGAAACTAAAATGTTCGGTTATATGTATGTAAATGGAAGTTTTACATGTCTTTGCTGCTATGCGGCAAGTGTGTCGATGGGGCGAGGGGCGGCAACAAGGCGTAGTTGATCAACGGGCGAGCTTCTCTAAACCACATTGTTTATTGTTTTCAGTGATGTTATTTGAATTGTTTAGGGGCTAATTTATGTAGTTGGGGACCTACTCGATTGGCATAGCGGCGACAACCCGTCGGTTTTGATCGTTGCGGAAGGAATGTGGGGTGGGGGAGGCAGAATGCCTTGTCGAGCTGGATGTATGCATGGCTAAAATAGTAATAGTAAATTATTGGGCAACGCAATGTACCTTGTTCTTTCTTGCGTAGATGCGTGGTAAGGAAATCGAAACATTCCTGGCCGAAACGCGGACTGCTGACGAAAGGCTTGTGATTGGAGCCGACAAATGAGAGAATGACGGGCAGAAGCACGAGCCCATGGAGCATCCCGACAAAGACAATTGTTGAGAACATACGGAAGTAATATATCTGCAAAGAGCAACATTATTAGGTCTTTTTTAGTGACTTACCCGGAAAATTTGCGCATGAGCGAATGCGAGTACAATGCTACCTCCGAACATACAAAGAAATAGGCCAGAGAATAGCTGAAAAAAGGTATAACTTTGAGAGGGAATTCCTACCGAGCTTCCCGCGTTGACTATGGCTTCTTCAACTCGCTCATTACGCTTCTTCTGTTTGCTGTGCTTATAAGCTCTAGCCACGGGTGCTGAGAATTCAACGGCGACAGCAATTGACTAAATCGCAAGTGTGTTATGGAATTTAGATATTACCATGAAAATATTTGCCAGCGATAATGGGTTCAGCTCGACTTGGAAGATACTCATGGCGCCGAATACATTGATTGTAGCCGCCATGATAGAGATCAATACCGACGTGGCTGTGGTGAAGTCGAATCCTAAAAAATTATTGATTATCGATTTGGGATGACGCATTATATAGTTACAGCTCTTAATATTCACAAACATACCAAGAATTATATACATAACCAGCCAGATTCCAACCATCGCCGCAATGATCCGACTGACTGCATCGGAGACAAGCTCCGGATACATGTCGTAGAACACGTAGAAGATGCTGTATGGGAACACTTCAACTTCATAGTTTCCGGTTGCAACTCGAAGATTGGACTCGAGCGTGTTGGCCAGTTTTCGTGAAGCCGAGACCGCCTAGAAATTCGTGAAGTGGTTATGGGCCAAGGTACCTCGATGAAGTCGGCGCTAGTGGCGAGATTTTTGTGAAATGCCATGAAATGAGAAGCATCGATGTGACGACGGCCGCCCGGGCGTTTCATAGAAATCGAACCACCGTGTGCGGCTGCTCCACTGAACAATCGTAATTTAGGGCTACATTTTCTAGAGAAAGCCTACTGGTTGAGGATAGAAAATTTGGATTAAAGTGCTAGTTTCCTTAAAAGACCAAAACTTACCCCCTAGGACACTTCTCTCCCGGGATGTCAGTCTTGAAGTAGCTGACGCGTTCATAGAACTGATCCTCCCCGGCTCCACAGTATGTGCAATTCGGATTTGTGCTCGACGCTGGACAAAAGTGCCCGTACTCGTCTTTTCGACAACATGGTGGATCTCCCACGACATCTTGCCAGTCCATGAAATCGTCCACCCAGTTCAGTCCACCAAATGGTATTAGGGTACTAAAGGGCATTATAAAACCTTGCTAAAATTAATTACCTGGCAGGAAGTTGACTGGCATCTCTCAATAGATTTCCAAACGATTGAGGATCGCAGCCGCCAGCGGTGCAAAGCGCCGACTGTACTTTTGGATCAGAATAGTCCAACTAGAGATTAGATTTCGTCACAGGTTTATGCGTATGATATTACCTCTCCTTTCACAACAAAATACACTGGTGGTCCGAACGATTGGAATCGTTCCATTGCGTCGAAATGTCGGACGACATAAGAACCGTCAGGCAGCGGAATTCGTGGATCCATCCCAATTACCATAAACTGCATTGCATACACTGATGCCAGTGTCCAGATGGCAAAAAGGGTTATCTAAAGACAACTAGAATTTTGAACAGAGATCCTACCACAAGCCCTCGCACCCAGCCGAACAGCAAAACCTTCGACCAGAAGTTTCTGAACAACAGAATGGTATAGCCGTTGTGAATTAAGCGATTCGGGAACATCTTCTGCCAGCAACAAAATTCAGGACGACCGGCCTGAATATTGGAAGTTTTCACAAGCTTTTTGAACCCACTTCAGCTCGCTTGCTGTCCCAAATGAAAAGCACCAAAAAGATGGTGCCTTGGAAGTAAAGGTTCAAGACGAGCGCAATTGCACAGCAAGTTGAGAAATTTGATACTGTCGCGACCCCGGATAGATAACCTTAACGAACGTAAAAATGAGTGAATGGATCTAGTACCCAATCCAAAACATGCTACAGTTGAAGCTGTGCTGGAGACGAAAGATGGAATTAAGTAGCCACAAAGGTTGATGATCCGAATTTCCAGTTCTTTATGTTCGAAGCGAGTGCGCTAAAATGGCATTTAGAGCATAAAAAATAATTCCCACCTGGTATGCACGAACAAACACAAAAATATTATTATATGCAATGATTATGACGATGAATGGCACGATCAAGAGCAACAATCTGGTTGGTTTCACTCCAAACATGGCGAATAGACCCATTGAACTAAAAAAAAAGGGTTTTTGCCTTCATACCATTCCCTACCTGACAACCGAAAGGACGGCCAGAAATAGCCCAAGGAATCCCATCAGCATACGCGATTGATTCATCAGCGAGCTTAGCTGGTTGTTTGTCACGTCATACTAAAAATATTTCAGGGTTTTTTTAGGTTTCCTTACCTGGCCAAGGACAAAGCAGGCATAAGCAATGATTAGGATATAAGCCATTACAATCAAAACGGCATCCGAGCGAGTCTCAGCTTCGATCTCGTCCTGGAAATATGTGTATGAAGACATTGAAAAAAGGAGGACAAGCCCTTAAGGTATTACCAACCTGAATAGATCGCTCTGCCATAAAGGAGATTGTGTAAGAATCGTGTGGCGTCTGCTGCATGTATCGCAAATATTCCCTCTCCCATGCCAACACTTTGGGCAGATTATGCTTCTCACTCATTAATGGGAAGTTGATCAACATGGCCAACGCAAAGGAGGTGTTTAGTGATTTCTGGAATCGGTATTTTTGTATTTTAGGGGATTTGCTTACATCATCATGCCCGAAGACGAATTCCGGCTGAATCGGACCTCCATATTCCCCCAAAGCAGGATAAGCCGAATCGAGTGCGAAGATTCATTGGGTTCCTAATTTTTAATAGTATTACAAGGGACTTTCGTTACCGTATGCAATCCTGGATATGATCCAAATAAGAAAATTCCTGGGCTTTTGCTGGCTCGTCGTCATAGTAATCCCACGTATCATCTGCCGGGGCGATGGTAGTGGCTACTGGTGGTTTGTGGTCCAATTTCGCGATGTCATTCTGGACATTGTACAGGGTGTCCCAATAAAAAAGGTCACGCTGGCATTTCGCCATTTCAAATCTGTTCGATCTGAAATTTGGAACAGAGCTGCGGAAGGGAATTTAAAATGTTCACAGAAACTTTCAGCCGGATCGGTACAGTAGTTTTCGAGTTATAACCAAAATACTGTTGTTTCAACACTTTTGCTTCATTTTTTCGGCTATCTTTTTGGACTTTGCATCAATTAACATAAATTTCGGCCCTAAATCCCTCATTCTTCTTAACATCGGGGATGATAACGCCTTGTTAAAATGATTGAAACAACCAATTTCCAAAACGAATTTTACGAAATAAAAAATTTCCTGGGGTAAAAAAGGGTCGGCGCTTCATTTTTGCCATACATTCCAAGGCTCAATTCCGACGAAATCCAGGTTAAAAACGTAAAATAAAGTTTATTTTTGCTATAACTCGAAAACTACTGTTCCGATCCGGCTGAAAGTTTCTGTGAACATTTTGAATTCCCTTCCGCACCTCTGTGCAAAATTTCAAGTCGATCGGATGTGAAATGACAAAATGCCAGCGTGACCTTTTTTATTGGGACACCCTGTATATAAATAGAATGGTTTTTGATATAATATACCTGGAAATACGAAGTAGGGCCCATGATCAGACAGTTCCCGGTGGGGCCCATTGGCTTGATGCAGACATCATTCAATGTTACATTGACTAGATTCTTGCAGATAAACCCGTTCTTGGCTTGCTCGGCCTCGGTATCCAGACAGATTTCAGCTGAGATTTCATGGATACCCGCAACAAGTTTGAAAGCCTTAAGTAAAGAGAGGTGATTTTAAAGATTGGAGCCTACATATTCTAAGAATGGCCTCCGAAAGGCTGGACCGAACATCTCTCCGTTAGCGGCCCGAAGGTTTTGCCCGGCAGCTTGATCAGCTGGGAATTTCTGAGGGTAGATGCTCAACTGTGCTGTTCGCATGAAAGGACTAAAAATATTAATCCACCACTTAAACTATAATACCCGAATTTAGTGTCGTAATATTCCTTCTCGAGACGCGCTCGGCTTTGTGGTACCGACCAGAGATCGACAAGCTCTTCCGAAAAGCTTAGACGATAGATGGGGACGATGAATAACAAGGCAACCAGACCGCCAAAAGTCAGTACCCGTAGTGGTTTATGATAGGCAGTCTAAAAGCAACTATCAAAAAAGAATTTCATCCCTACCCTTCCATATTCTCTGGCCTTATTCTCCAAATAATCCTCCAGATATTTGCCCATATACGGTAGACACGAATAGCTGGCTTCCATGATTGGCTCCTGGAAATTAATTGGCGTGTTTGGCGTTCGAATTCGTTACCTCTTGGATGCCCTTACGAGCCCTGAGGAATGGAAGCCATTTGTTGCATAGGATAACAATAACGAAAAACAACAGGATTAATACAGCCACAAAGGCTGCTGCCAGTGGGTAGCATTCTAGCGGAATCATCTCGAAGCATCGCTAAAGGAATTGTACGCTAATGAAGTTATAAGAGGGAAACTCATACCTTTGATTGTTCCCTAAAAATCCAGTTGAGATCAGTGTTTTTTGCTTGGCAAGATTGTTCACAGTCTGTACATGAGCATGGCCGTTTGCCAGCCCGGGCTTTTTTGTTGCAAGGTGTTGTTTTGGTTGAGGGGACGGATGCGTTGCGCTAAAGGGGGAATTAGATATTATGGGGTTGGCTTACACTTAATTGAAATTTAATGTTGAAGGGGATATGGTTGGTGTGATCTTTGGTTCCCATAAAATCCAGCCATTTGTTGAGGGTACAATCGCCATCGCCACTTCCGCACATTAGATCGAGGGCTCGGCTTTGCATAAAACGTACCTGGAAAATGCGAAAATACAAAGACCTCGTCTGTTTTTGGTATTTTCGTCCCGGAAATGAGTTCTTCCTTTTTTTCAGGTTTGCGGCGTGCGGAATTAAATTCTTGGAATTCAATATTGAGTGATGACGCAGCGTGTTTGAAGGCTGTTAATTAAAAACGTCTCTCACATTTTTGCACGACTCGAACATCCCGTGCCCAAAATCAGCCGGCAGCTCGAATTTAACCGTATCCACATATGACGCGTTACCCGGCTGACTTGAGTTCGTTTTTAACACCTAAAATAAAGTATTAGGGGCTACAACTTTTGGAGCACCTGTATAAATTCGTGTTGTCGTGGGTGGCATGTGAAATCGCACCACATTTTGATGAAATTGTCGGCGCACGAGTCGCATCGCTGCAATATTTGGGATGGCATGCTCATCTGGTTGACCAGCACATCCACTTGAGTCGACGAGCAGCAAAGGGATGGATTGGGGCCATCTGAACCAGGAAGTATTAGGTCAAATGGGTTAGCACGTCACTTCCGGAAAGGAAAATTATCGCAAATGGCCAGAAACTTAGGTAGCTTTTGTTTACTGCCGTGGGTTTCTCTAATATTAGCCTATGTCTACGTTAATACATAGCCTTTATTACTTCTTTCTGTTTTTTTTTGTTTATAAGACAAAATCTTTGCAGTTCTTGGATTTTGATTTCTCAAACCCCACTGGACCCTTTGTTGAAAATATCGCTCCGCAAATAGGTTTTTTAAGACGCGTGCCAAAAGGGCAACCCCCCCCCCTTGTCGTTTTGTTATCAGCGTACCAGAAAACAAGTGAGGACACAGGGCGGCAAGCTTCTTCTGGCTGGCACCATCGAGAGACTTCGACAGGGATGCCGGGCTTTTTGTACAGGGCAAGCTCAATTTTTCCGTCCCATGCTTTACCGTATGGCACGTGTCGTAGAGTACACAATCCGCCTTTACGACCGGTAATGCTGAAAAAAAGATTCATAGCTATGATTTTTAGCTCTTTCAAAAACTTGTTTTCACCCGTTTAAGAAAAATGTCAAGAATTCTTTTCACTTTCAAGACGTTTCAAGTTGAGAAAAACTAGTCTGAGATTGAAATCACTATAATTCCATCGAAAAATGGCAATAACTTACACCCATATATAAGAAAGATGAGGATGAAGAGTGTGAGGCGAAATGGGTTGTCTGTGGGTGCCCGGTTGGAGTGCCACATGACATGCCTGGAAAGAAAAAAATTCAATTACAGGTATAATATTGAAAGCATTCTAACGGTAGCGCAGCAAAATGGGAGCAAAAATCAGAGAGAACCGGACCAAGGATAATGAAGCTGAATTTATAATCACCGGCGCCTAAACCCGGCTTTGATTTCTTGAGCTTCTGGTTGGGCGGACCCGGCTTCGCCTCTTTTTATGACCGTTTGAAACGAGCAGGGCTTTGTGCTAACAATGCCAAAGCGAGATAAGAAGCCGCTGGGAATAGTTAGGAGTGGGAGGCATGGTTAGGGCCGTGGCCACGTCACGCCATCTGATGAGGTGGCTCGTGATGGTCGGATTATTGCTTGGATGGGCATGTAAAAAATGGGTGGTGATTCGGCAAATTGGGTTCTTAGAGAGGTTGGGATGGCAATAAAAAGGCGGAGAGATTAAAGGTTGGAATGCAAGCCAAAAATAGTTAAAGGGACTAGAAGGGATAAATAAAAATGAACCTACACATAGATTAGACACATACCTCTAAATTTAGCAAAATCGATCTATGGAAACGAATGGTAGAAAGTGAAGATTTAGTCTATCGCTAAGATTTATTAAAAAATTATAGTATTACAGACTAAGAATTCAATAAAATGCCATGGGGAAAAAACCGATAAAAAAATACAAGTAACGGCTCATTTTCTAATTTTTCGAAACTACTTACTTTCTTGCTCTCCTTAAATTCTTTTAGATTTCATAGGACCACTCAAACCTAATGAAACCACATGAAGACCAAAACAACAGGCTAAAGGACCAGAAACCCCACTATGAAGTCAACCATACTAAACATTACCCCACCACCACAAATACATCGAAATCTACAGTGGCATGCGGGATTCAAAAGGTAGTCGCCAAGCCAAAACAACCATGACCTGTGCAGGAGGCGCAAAAGCTTTGTTTTTCATGCTCGCTCTTCTGCGGGCGCTAAGCCGCACCCAACAAAAAAGGAGCAACGAAAAAGGGAGCGATTGCCGTAGTGTGGCTTTGGAAGCCTATTAACTAGAGAAGCCAACAAGTTTTTTGGGCGCGATATTAAAAAAGTTATAGGATAACGGAATGCGGGGAATAGGGTTTCGCTAAATGGAAGCCAATAGATGGAAGGGGTGAGCGAGGGGAATTGGGTATCGAGCGGAAGGAATCTCCATAACAAGGCGGCTTCGTCTGGTTTGGCAAGAATCGAATGGGCCACCTCCTCCTGTTCTTGGGGCCCAAAATGGAATAATGGGTGTCGCCGGCTGTTTTAGGGTAGTAGGAAGGGACGGGGTGGTGGCTAATGCCAGTCAAGGAACCAGTCAAACGGCCTAGCTGCCCATTTCCTTTAGACTAATTGCTCAATATCCGTCTCCCGAGGCCCCCTCCAAAAGCAGCACCCGTTTCCTTTGGCCCAGGGCCCCGATTTCGTCGATTTTTTTAGGGCTTCAAAGTAGGGGAGGTTTTTCATGGAAGAACCAGCAGATTTGGCAGGGCGGCGAGCGGAAATGGCGCCAGTGCCATGGGCTATATTTTGGTAAATAGCAAGGGCATTATTGTGGTTCATTGGACATGAGGAAGAGGTTGGATGTCGGGAGACGACGAAGCAAACCAGGAACTATTTTTGACAGAACGAATAGGAATGAGAGCGTCAAGGCAGTTGATCAACTGTTTAAAAAAGTCTAAAAACAATGATGAAGTTGCCTGTCTGCATAAAAATTGGTGAAAATTGAGGCTTTATTAGGGCTATAATAGAATTAATTATTATTAAAAACGCGCATTTGCGTTTAGGCTTGAGGGCGAATGATCAATCCCAAAAAAGGCATTTAATGTGTTTGTTTTTGCTTTATTTCCCTAAGAATAACGCAGAGTGGTTGATCTTTAGCAAAAACGCCCTGAATTCAGTAGCAATCCAAGTAAATAATTTCGAATGGTAAGCTGTCCCAACGCGGAACTACCCTGGTTGCAGAGGAGCATGACAAATTGGATGTTTTGGGAAGGGCTAGGTGGGGGAATGGAAAGGGAGGAAGAGCTGTTTCGAGGGGCGAGATTTCAGATGAGCCGACGCATGGATGTCGAAATGGATGATGTCGAAAAGAGAATGGCAAAAAGAGGAGAGCGATGCTTGGGATAAGGAAGGAGGGAGAGCCTGGAGGGGCCCTAGGAGAACGACGGGGGGCGACCACCCGAAAGGCCCAAAAATGGGCCTCCGAGCTGGAGGGTAGAAGAGAGAGACCCACACATACATACACATAGAAAGAGAGACAGACAGACAAACGGACAACCCGACATACAGCTGTGGCCCAAGGCCCCCCCGCTAGTCATTGCTTGCCTCCCCCACACATTCCACTCGACCTGCAACACATTGCAACCCACAATATAACACTTGACTAGCTATTTACACCCAAACTCATGGATATCAAATCTGCAATATAAAGATTAGTTCTGGCAATTGTAGAAAAATAAATATCGGATATCCAGTAAGCGTTTTGAAAAAAGCTTTCCAACCCCAGACCGAAAAACATACTAAAAACTAGTTCACTTCCTATTCGGATTAAACCCAAAATCGCATGAAGTCACGTAAAAATCAGCGCAACCGGCTGCCCGTTTTGCCATACAGAAATACCTGACACCTGCCGATTTACGTAGCAAAACACATGTCGCCTTTCGAAAGGACAACTCCCAAACCTTTACAAATAGTCACACAAGGTCTTTAGATAAAATATGGTTATTAAAATATAATGCGAATTGAATCAGCCGCTCAAAGCACTGGAAACAATTTTTGCAACCCCCTTTTGTTGTTGTTCGCTTTTTATGCTGTCCACACACTCAAACTGCACATTGATCGCGAGAGGAGGGTTGGGGGAAACGAGGAGGAACAACGAATTTCCGGTTCTCCTAGCCCTGGGTCGACCTCATTTTTGGATCAGCCAATGTGGCCCTCGCTCGAATCCCCCGAAATCTCCTAAGAAACTCAAATTCTCGCGCCTAACCCTGTATCTTTTCATGTTTAATTCACGGAAATCCAATGAAAGAGGCGGAAAAATCTGAAATCCGGAAATACCCATTAAAAATTTGCAAGTTAATGGAAAAGGCGGCGCGGTCGGGAACGTCATTAAATGCTATCCAGTTCCTCCTGGGCTGTGTCTGCTCATTTGGGCACAAAATGACATTAGGGTTTGGGGTAGAAAATAGGGGGAGTGAAAGCAAGATGGAGGTCCGGAATAGAATTAATCATTTTTTGACACCAGAGGCCACAGGTGCCAACCTCGTAAAAGAACGGCGAAGCACAAGGGAGGGCCAACAAGGTGGCCACAAAACGAGAAAAAAGTCTCCGGCTAGTATTTAGCCGCTGAATGGTCTCTGTTTCCAGGCGAGACTCTCTGTGTCGCCGCCAAAAATCGACTTTCCTCAAACACAACCCTCATAACAACAAAACATCGCGGGGAAAGAAGGAGGAAAATAGAAGAGTATGGCAGCAAGGCGGGACCAACAAGATCAATGAATCGCTAAAACATACCCTAACCCAGAGTCCAGGATGAAAATGACGGTCGAGACGGCGAGGGACCAAAGCTGGTGGCTGAACAAATAAAACCTGAAAAAAGAAATTACATTACATCCAACCACCAGGAATCGAAGCACAATAAGAAATAAAGAATTCCTGGGGCATGAGGTGTCCGTGTGAATCATTGAATCAAATGAAGCCTGGGCAGGCGCCCCCGGAAAAAAAACATTGTGCGCCTGTTTTTGGCAGCTTTTCACGCAAAAATATCATGCTTTGATAGGTTTTTGAAAGCGGGTGGAAAGTCTGGGAAGGGCAGGTTTTATTAAAAATTTGCGTGTAGTGGTGAGACTATATGAGAGGAATAAAAGGGGGGAGAACAAGGAACGAGCCGGGGGCCACCTATGTTCCGCCCATCAGATAGAATGTTGCACACGGCTCGGGTTTCTCCTCAAATAGATCCATTTTCTTTGTCATTTTTTGGGGGGTTGCTGCAGACGGCGTCTGAGCATTGATGGAATGAATTGGCTGTACGATGATACGTTATGGAATATGGGAAAAATAAGGGGCTGCGGATATAGATAAGTGTATTTTGCTGATCGAAGGTATTTCTATTTTACGGCTGAATTTGTAATGCCTGAATTTAAAAAGGACAGCTAATGGCTGTTGTCTTCAACTTCAAACTCTAAACTTAAAGATTTCGAACTCCACCTGCGCACCCAATGCAGCCCGATCTTTATAGTCGACGCGCCCTCATTTCGCAATTAGGAGAAGCTCACAGATCAAGCAGCGCAAATAAATTAACTTTAAAGTCAATTGAATAAACCCCCAGGGGCTCCAAATCGCTGTTTGAACAGTGACTAAATGTTCTCGGGAAGGCATTCTGTTGCGAAAGGAAGAATTTGCCTTGCTCTAGGCCCCACCGTTGGACCATTGGCAAATAGTAGTCGACTTCGGCTGCAAGAAACACTGGCAAATAGGCCACCCGGGGTCGAGGCGGGTTTTTGGCAGGTCGACGCGTGACCCTTTAAGCAAATTTGGTTTTTTCATAAAGGTTGGGCGGGGGGGTGTGAAGATGGTCTAGAGAAATCAGTGGAACAACTCTTCGTTTTCAGGCTGAAAATAATAGTAATAGCCTCAGATTTCAAAAAGTGGCGCACAGCCATGAAATCTCGAGTCCACTACGACCAGAATACAATCCAACCTTTTGCTTCCTGGAATTCTGAGGAGGGCGGCTATGTTTTTTCGTAGGCTCACATGATTCAAAAAACGGATGAAAACAAAACCCTGCTATCGCGACATTTTCTAAGGGCAAAAATCACGATTTCCTGATCACATGATCCAACAAAAGTATATTTTTCACAACTAGTTCAACCTTCCGCCTTGACTCGAAAGACGAGAACGGAGACCATGAAAGATATAAATCTTCGAATGGAGAGTGAGATCAAGATTATAAGGCGCAAAGAGCCTGCTTTCTTGATGGAATGAGGAAGC